TCTGTAAAAAAAACGGCCACCATATCTACTACCAAAACAGCAGTGGCGGTATCCGCCATTCAGCACTTCAATCAACAGAAGTTCGCTCAACAGAGGCTCAACTAACGTTAGCGACAACAACAGCTACGTAGCCCAAACGTCGGTTGACCATTATCCGCGGATTCACAGCGAGAAAGAAAGGTCTTCATTTACTTATTAGCCGTTACTCAAGGCAACGATAGTGAGGACGACGAGGGCGGCCGTAATAATGATCTCATCGTGGTGCTATACATCACGTTAATTTCGTGCCCACGGCGGACGTCGGCATTAATGTGCCCGTCTATGTTTTCAGCTGGAACTTCTTTGTCCGTTGCCCTCTCCAATACCATTATCTCAGTATATATATATTATCATTTGCTGCAATTACATCCTCAACTGAAGCACCTAATCACCAACTAGTTATTGTCAAAATATTTCTCCCTTACTATGCAGATAACTTTTTAATCGTACCTGTGAGTCAACCAATATTAAAATCATTTGCAAATACGCTATAGACGAAAAAATGCCAGCGGAATCTGATTTTGGTCCGACAGTAGATGAAAAGTCTCAAAAGTACAAGCAAGAACTAAAAACGGCCGATACGTACAAAACACGAAAAAGACGCGGAGCTTCAAGAAGACTTACCATTGTAGCTTAGTTAGACGAGCAAATCGGGATATTCTGGTCTTCAAAACGGCCACTAATTTATATGTAAACCATCCAGCTATATTGAAAAGAGCTTCTTGGGCCATTTTCACAGATTTTCGAATCCTTCAAGTCGAGTCCTTTAGGTCTTTAGGTATTGGAAATCTGTTTGGTTTTTCGGAGGGCACGTGAAAACAGACAACAACGTGGACCGTCGATTTCATACAAAAGGTAATTTTTTATTGGTGGGGCTTCGTCCAGCATAAACATTAGTTAATAACTTACCTTTGCTGAAATTTTGAAAATGACGCACTGGTTTTTTTCTTGATGAGTTTGCTCTAAAAAGAGCCGATTTTCCATTAGTTCAGTGGTTTTTTCTGTGGTACAAATAGTGGGCGAATGCATGCTCATTTTAGTTTAGACCAAAAGTTTAAGGCACGTTTAAAAAAAGTACTCCTGTTATAGATGTATTGCACAATCGGATCTATGTATATTCTGTTACTCTTCAATTGCCCAGAGACTTTTGACTAGTACATGAATTCTTATGAATTATTATGTAGGCCTGATGCTTAGTTGTGCCGACTTCGCCGCACTCATTTTCCAATTCTCATTTCATCGCCGGGAATGGGCGTAACAACAAAGCACCACCAACAACAACAACAATAACAACAAAAGAGATGATTTAACCTATTTATTGAAAAAAATGGAAACTTTCTACAAACACGACAGCTGCTGTAGTATCCTTCCACCCCACAATAATTTTCACAAAAAAGGGCTACCGTTATAACTGTAGCTGTGCTAATGCCGTTAACACAACAACACACGTACCAGCCATAATAATAATAACAACAACAACTGCAGCCAAATTTGTATAGTCCTAGCAATTACCCATGGTAAACAGGGAGTCACTAGCTAATCCTGTCCAACCCCGAACAAAGTGAATGAGTTTGCCTCAGTCACTGCAAAAGGTTAGCTGTCAGTTGTACATTTGAAGTTCCGGGACCAGATGAGATCAGAATGTTCCGAATGGCAGTGAAAACCAGGGTGGTTGGAGAATGGTGGTAAACATATTAAATAGCTGATGAACGAATGGTCGGGAAAATGTAACATCGGTAATAATCATAGAAACAAGAGCAGCGGTCGAAGTTATCATTAAAAACATATTTAAGCGCTTGATGTTATCTTCGGGAGCCGCGGTTACCCCCTAATAGAAGGTCAATATAATCGTCCTGAAGAGAACGATTAAAGCATTAGTAGCATGCGTTTCTTATGTAGCAGTAAGTAAAAGACACATCAAAGAAATGGGTTTATACAATCAAATAAAAAAAAAGGAAAATATTTTCCTTTTGGCACAAAAGTTAACTTATATAATAATTAATATATAATAATTAACTAAATAATTAAATAGAAAAAGATTAAGGAACGCATCTCGCTGAAAATAATTGTTGCTTGGCTTTTGTCAGTGCGTTCAGTGGTCTCTACTGTTCTGTGAGTACTGGAATCAAGTGTATACTAGCCAGTGTTTGAGATTTTTATGTAGCACTTTTTGTTAATTGTTTATACTGTTTTTATGGAGATGATCCCAGTGGGGGGTCAACAGAATAACTTTTTGAGAATACAACAAGCCATGCTAATAGAAATATGGGTATGAGCTACTATCATCAATAAATAACACAATAATGATAGTCTCATATCGCTTGGTGGGACAGGGGGATTTACGATACCTTCCGATTTAATTTTCTATTTTGCATGAGCTGTCTTCACTCAAATAGAACCTTGGTATGTAAAGACTGGTAGAAGACATATAGAAAAAACTGTATCGAACCTTTAGTAAACGCTTCTTCATTATGTCAACCTTGATGTTCATTAGATCGAATAATAATTTTTTCGAAACTTCAATTGAAGTTTACCTCTCACGGATGGATACATATCTCCTATGGAGTCTTTTTTCACAGAAAAATATATGTTGTAGTTTTAAATTTTAATCGTTTGGTTTGAAGTCCTGTAGACAGATTTCGGGTCAAAGCAAAAAACGAGTGTCTATATAATCATTTGTCCAGAAGCTCAGCTAGGGTAAACATATTGTTACGACATTACGCGAATATATAAAATGTGATGACCTTCGTTACATTTTATGCATTGCAATCTTAACGAAATGCATTCGCCGGCGAAAGCATAGTGTCAATGAACTAATAGTGCGTCACGAATCGTAGTATGAGCTTTTTTAAATAGTGACTTAATGCATTTTGTCTAAAAGAGTTAATTAAGATAAGCTGGACACAAAAATTGGAACAAAGAATTTTCGTTCACTTTAATCAGCGGATGTTTTGGGTGCGACACTTTTTGTCTTTCCGTAACACCACTTAATTAGCTATTCTTCAATATTAGTTATTGGTGTTTCAAATTTAACAAATATCATCGGACACTAGTTTTTATTTGGAAAAAAAGGGTTCATTCCATTTCACTACTCCATACTAACTCAATCGCGCTCACAGCGATAGCAAACCTGTCCTTAAACGGTAACATACCTTAATCATCCAATCATCAATAAGACGATATAATACTTATGATATTTTCATTGGAATATAAAGGTCATTAAGTGGAAATGTGGACACCATTTAAAACTGTTCGTAGAGATCGAACGTAGCAATTGTGTTCACAGCTGTGCCCAATTATTCAAACTTTGAAATTGTTTCTTTGTCCTAGCAACACTCTAGTGACACCACAGAGGACCAATGAGGCCTTTCTCTTTTAGGAGGTAAAAAAGCTGGGTTCTGCCGGCTAGAAGAGACAGAAACACACCTGTAAATGTCGTTGACGATTTACCATAATCCGCTAAAAATATTCGACTAAGAGTGAATTAGCGACATTCACGTATGCCAAAGATGTTTGTTCTTGAGGAAAAATTCGATTTACAAGTACTCAATTTAAGGTAATGTTCTTTCATGATAACATCTTTTTCATGATAACATATCTGGCGCTACTACCTTAAATAAATATTTATAGATATCTCAATTTTGGTGATATTCGATGCAGTAAAACAAACACTGTTTCACAACGATTTCGTGAATATATTGTAACACAATTTCTAAATGTTAAGCTTTAAATGCAGTTATTTATCCATTATGATATTTCTAATAATGACTGATCTGCAGATCGATGCGTAAAAAGAGCCTTTATGAAAAAAATGGTTGTGATGCAAACATGCGAAGTTGTAAATGTAAAGTTTGTAATTTTTACAAATTCGCATGTTTGCATCACAACCATTTTTTTCGTATATATATATATATATATATATATATAAAATAAGTCTGGTTAACTTCTTATAATGGTTAGTCAGTGAACTTGGATGTAGCATAGCGATGGAATTGTCCCGTTTTCGGATATACACAGATCTCACATCTAGAAGGCTGTAAAATAATCCCTGCCGCACGCCATTGCATAATTACGTAATTAAGTAATGTTAATATTACATAATAAACTAAAATGTTGTTTTCATAAGCAATAGGAAGATTTTGTTTTCTCTTCTTTAGTTAATGTAAAGAAAACTCCGACTTGAATTGCCAAACATAGGGGACTAGACAATCAAGAAAGCGCCCTTTCATTTTTCAAATGCTTTATATTTACTATAACTTTCACTCTTAACCATACAATAACAACAACTACTACTAATGAAGAGTTGTATCGCCGATTCCATGCTCAACCCGGAGTAGTTTTTCTTGGCATATCCTGTCTATTTCTGCTATATAATGACCGACATGCAGCTGCCGATCGCGATAACAGCTGCGCTAACTTCTGGTCAATTAACCGTGCGACGTGAGTTCCGTTTTTCTTCCATAACGCTGGGGGTTTTCGGATCGCGTATCTCATCTCTCTATCTGACTACTACAACAATAGCTCTCTCAAGAACCACAAAGCACCAATCGACAGCCAGTCTTTTAACTAACCTCAGACCAACTACGTTAGATAGAGCAGACCAGAAAAGTCATGCTAACAATTATAAATTGTACATATATATTGTACAAGTGAACATACATCCGGACGTCAATATTGGTAGTACTCTAGTAATAATAACCAATAACAATGAATTGACTCGAATATTAGAAAAAAATAGCTCTTCGAAACATTTCAAACGGAATCATCTTTGTTAATATTACAGTTAACATCTTAGAGGGTTTAATATACAATAGATGACTACTGATCAACGTTAAAATTTAAATAACAAAATGAGCCATCTTGAATATGCCAGTGGCTACCAACAATGACAACTAAATTCTTATAAGGTGTATATAATTTCCTAGATTGTTTTTGTTAAAAACGACGTTTCTCTTGCTTACCATTGCGCTGATCCGATAGTTGTGGTCGATGTTGCAGTTGCCGTCATAACCAAACATTTAGTAGTCCAAACAGAAGTCCGTCCTGCCGCCTCTTACTGACACCGACAATTCAGCAAAGTCGAATAAAGGAAAGCTATGCGGAGCCTGAGATTTACCAGGAATGACAACGAGGCATAATGATGAGGTTACGCGAATTGTGTCGTCGCTCCGGTCAATAAATCAGTATAAAATAGCTCCCTACAAAACTTCCATTCACCCGCTTGTGGCTGTTCTCGCTTCTAAAGCTCACCGTGATCCGCTTTACCTCGACCTGTTATCGCCTTCAAGCAGCGCTGACTTCGTTAATTCAAGCCTTCGGCGATGCCACTTACTCCACTACAAATGATGCCATTAACCTGTATCATTTATTTGTTCATATGCTGTGATTTCCTTACGTTGTCGTCGTTGTCAGCAGCAGCAACAAAAACTTCCCTCTCCTCGCTTTCGAACAGGCAGCCTAGATAAAGTTAGACTGAAGACGTAAAGGCACAGGCAAACGCGCGACGAATACGCACACGCTACTAGAGCACAACAATAACACAAACAACAACACCAATAACGATTAACAGCCGCAGCAAGTGAAACGACGAATCAGCTCGACGAAACGGGAAAACTCGGTAGGTCGGTAGAAAACTCGGTAGAATTAACAATAATAATTATCCGGACACGAGGGACAAGACAACGGATAAACGGGTCCTGTGGTGACGACGGCCGCGAACTTCGCCTGCCTTCGTGTCGTGCTCGAAGGATCCCTCTGCTGCATTCGGCTTTTCGCTGCGGCCTTCCGTTATCCACGGCGACGTTCTACCAAAAAGAATTCCTTTAGACGAATTTTTGTTGCTTTAAGTAGTAGCTTAACTAAAAACTGTTGTGAAGTAATAGTTGGAAGCATAAGTCGTTCCGCTTGATAGGAGCAACGCTTCAACCACAAGCAAGCGGCAAGATATACTGGCAGCCGCTATTGTAGAAGGTATGGGCTGGACGGGAAGCACACCGCCAGTTTTAGTGTTGGCCAGATTAATTTGCGAACTGCTTAGTATTCCATCAGTGCGACAAGGTGACAGACGCAAGAGTTCAGAAGGAAACTACGAAAGGATAAGGCGTACAGGAAAAGGCAACACTAAAATCGTGACTCCTAGCACGATAACATATAGCAGCCCCGAGAAGTATCCAACGAATTTAACATAAACAGATGGCAAAAACGGTATCACGACAAAGAAACAGGCCCGCCGACTCTTCTGGCGTTATTTGACGACAGCGAATCAACCACACTCCCCCACCGTCTGCCGCTATGGCTACCAACGAAAGTCCTATATAGTAGTATTGTTAACAGTTGAATAAGGGTCCCGTGCCATCTTTCGAGTGACAGTAGCCGAACCGGTCAAAATGTATCCAATGACCGCTTTACTCTTCGTTATGACCCTTTCACGTTCCACCAGCAGTTTTCGTACCGAAGCTGCTGCCTCAACAGCGAGCTGGATCTCCGGCTGGTCGAAGCCGGCACGGCAAGCGCCACTCACAACAATTCTGTCGCTGTTCTATTTGTTCATTGGTGACTTCTCCTGCTGCTGCGGCCCTCAGTTAGGATATTTGTCACTAATTCTTCTCGCCAACGGCCCCCTTTCTGCCTCCCGGAGCGCTCTTTCTGCGCTATTCTGACCACTGCTGACGCCACTTGCGCCACCGCCGCCGCCGCTGCTGTTGTTATAGTGCTGACACTTGTCTGTCTTCTCAGCTGGCTAGCTGACTAACGCTGCGACAAACAGGGAACGTCAGCTTAGTCACTGTCAGAGAATGGAGTTTGGGTCGAATGGCGCGTCCGAACCGAGCACGTTAATAGAACCGCACACCAGATCGTAGTACAACGGAGAAAACGACATAACGTAGACACGCACGGAGCAACGGCTGGGAAGAGAGCTGGCACATGAGGCACCCCTAAGGGGAGAGTGCGAAAATTGGTCGGGTAGTGGAGTTCGCTGATGGATGGCGGGACAATTTGAAATTGGACACCGAAGAGATATAACGATTAAGAAATAAATCAACGGTGTTTGACCATGATGGCCAAAGTAAGGAAGCTGTGCGTTCGATTTTGACTGCTCGTCTTGGAGAAACAACGAGATTGAAATACTTGTCTGATAGTTGTCATGCAGTGATTTGATATAATTGAGTATTTTTGAATTTTATTGACGATGTGAATACATTTATAAAGAAACGACTAGGTGCAAGCTTCTTCTATCCTGGGGAAACGAGTTCAGCCGTTAAATCGGCCAATCAGGTCTTGAAGTCATACGTCCGTTGAACGATGTGCGTTTTGATATTTTTTTTTTTTTCTTTTTTGCTTAGCTGATGTCCATAAGCGTAAGTCTTTTTTGTAGTGAAGAGTGTAGCAAGGTATTAGAACTTACGGAAAACTACAACCGTCTGACGCAGTGGAGACTTCCTCGGCTTTACACGAGTAGCTTAGAATTATTTTGTTGTCAATAAGAATTATTTATTTTTTCAAAATGGAACTTTACAACCGTAGCTTAAAACACTGTCACTTTCCAACATCAACGAAAAGGGCACTTGTCCGTCTACCATGTGCCATAAAAATAGGAATCCCACTAAGCTGTAGCGTTGTGAGTCCTCTTATGTGACGCGCTGTTTTTGAAAAGCATCTAACCGGTGAGCTGGTTCGCCGACAATTGATACATTTTCCAGAGTAGAAAGTGTATATGCGAAGCGTGTTACGAAGACTGAAGAAATATTTTTCGTGTTTTAGCTCCGCTACCTAAACCGTAAGGCATTACTTTAAACAGTTGGCTCCTGCAGGCAAAACTAAGTGTATCTACAACCCGATACGAACCTAAACCACTGCATGTTTCTAAGTTTAGCGGACAAACGCGTTGTGCACTGCGCTATCATGAAGACAAAGAAATTAGCAGTTACTGTGAAGAGTTATTTAAATTTTAACTAATTTTAAATGTGTACATTTCGAGCGAAATGACACTAAATCCTGACATGAATCCCTCGTTAATCTCAATATTGATCCTCAATATTTCCGCGCTCGTAGCCGGTACTAGAGACTTTCATAACATTAAATCTACTTACATCTATTAAAGGATTACGCTATCTTTCAAAAATAGAGAATAAAGAAAAATTACCGCTGAACAGCAGTAGTTTTTCTCTATTCTCAATACCGTTTCTAAACAACTAAAAAAAATTACCAGCTCATCTGAATTAACTCTAATCATGTACTTCCACTCGTTAGAGTGCGATACACCAAAACACTTCACTAAGAGCCACTCTCTTTAACTCGTTTCACTTTGATTGTCTGGATTGTTAACATATTAATTAAGCACTACAATTAAGTGGCGCACGTCAACAGAATATTCTCTCAATGTATGCGTGTCTATTTTATCCAAAGACGAAAAATCACACTTTAAATTATCAAACGCATATGCACTTTATTTACATAGGTGAACAAACTACTCATATGTACATGCTACAGGTTGTCCTCATCACGGCCGTTTAACGTAAGGATAGACGTTTATTTATAAATTTGGTGATCAACCGTACTATATCACTAATGCTGATAGTAGTAATTTTTACCCCTTCAAATCAAGTAGAATGCTACTGAACTTACTTTCTTGATAATATCATTGTTTGAACTACCACTCGATAAACCTGATGTGCACAGCTCATTTTATAGGGATGCAAACCAAATCGAGTATCTTTCAAAATCATGTTCTATTTGGTACATTATCTTTCCTTGTCTCAAATACATATTCCTTTATTCGCTAGTTTCATTCCAGTTTGACATAAATACACACGATTAACACATTCATAGTTCTATCCGCGTCCTCATTATGCCTTTTTGTTGTAGTCAGCTTTTGTGCTAGTGACAATATTGCTGGCAATGGCCATGCCTTTCTTTGAATTTTCCTTTTTGAAGTTTGCTGTGGCCGTTATAATGTTATCTCGTTGCATTTTCGCTCGCGAACATAATGCTGACTAAATCAGACCACTGAAACGTTCAATAGCTGGCCGTCCATATATATGGATAAATTTAGAGCAAAAGACATTACTACAGAACAATTTAATCTGATGGTATTAAGAGGGCTCAGAAAAACTCTCGTATGATTGCCCTCAACAAGTACTGAATTATATGCGAAGAGTCTCAACTTCCAACGCGCGTAAAAGTGTGGCCAGCCTATCCTATAGTTTTTTTTGGCTTTGGCCCTGTGACAAAGCAAGTCAGAACTGTATATTCTATGGAGAATGCACGTTGTGACCCCTACACTCTACATAAATATTGTTCTTTATTTGCACAAATCGTGTAGTATTTATATCCCGTAGAACATTTGGGGTGCTGAATCATATCTAAATGCCGTCGCGTCGTTCATTCCCCTTCGTATCGTCGTTCAAATTACTGCAAAAATATTGCCGGCTGTATTCACCATCGCCGTCGACCTTTACGAGTCGCCTCATCTTACGGCTTCGAAACAGCGAAATCGTCTTCAACATCCACTTTTGGCGGTCTTCATATATGTAAACGATGACAAAGCGTGCGATTCTGACGAGGTAACAGGCCGAGACCTAGAAGCAAAGGGGTTCATTCAATGGGGCGTTAGTCGACATGCTGTAAAAAGCGCGGTGAATTCGCAGGCCGTCTACGGTCGCCAAACGCCGACGGTGGCTGGGGGCTCAACACGTTTTTTGAACTGTAATACTGCTTCTCGATCACCTGGACGCGATGATGACGATGATGATAGGAGACATGAGGAACATAATGAATGACGAAAAAGTTATCAATTGCATTTTTGTGTATAAAGTTATAATCAATTTGACATATTTCATAGACAGAAGCTATGAGCCGAATACCTCGACAATGATCACTAGGGACAAAATTACCTGCATGACAGACAGTGCTAGTTAATAGTAAAGAAGAACCATTGTTTAATCTACAGTGCAGACGAAACCTGTAGCCAAAAAGTTATAGTTTTGATTTTCATATATATATACATATAGCTAAACTGAGCCTGAGACTAAACCAAAATTTTATGATAAAGGAATCAAATAAAGTTTTAAAATGCCTTTACATGTAGAAAAAAAATCGTGCTAGAGAAGAAAAAAAGAAACTGTCAAATTGAAAAGTTTGAACTCATGGGCTAAGTTTTTGTATCATAAACAAAGTAACTGATAAACTCGAACCTTGTCAAAAAAGCGTGATAGCTTAACAGCATTGGAGGAGCCGGGAGCAAGACTGGAGCTATGCTCTCCATCTCCCGTTGAATCGACGAAAATTTGTTCGGCGCCGCAAAGGTCTGCGATGTGGGTGCCTCGCCGATGCTGTACCCTTGCCCGTGACAGTTTTGTGCCAACGACTAAAACAGGCACCTAACGATAGTAATAGCATATTGTTTACGTAACGATCAGTACACATATGGCTGGCCAAAAAATATTATATTTGATCATCTGTAATATTATTAATATATCAAGTTCTTGAACGGAATCGAATTCCGTACCCGACTCAGCCTCAGATGAAGAGAAGATTCAAGGAACTTTTGCTTAAAACGTTAGGCGTTATCAAGATAGCCTATGGTAGTCAGAAACGATATAACAAAATTCAAAATATAGTAAATGAAATCCAAAGAAAAATCACGTTAAGAAGTCGAAACGATCACCATGTTCAGCGTATGCAGGCGCGATTGAATATGCCAAAATATTAAGCAGAATTAACTCTCTCGCTGGGGCATTTCGTGATCCATTTGGGAGCAAAACAACAGATAACTGTAACCCGAGAGCTCGTATCAGCACAAAACCTTAGCATACCTGTAGGTCGGCAAACATTTCAGCATCAAATTCACCTCCTGAACGCCGCGTAACAGCATCCGCCAGCCACATTTTCAAGTGATCGTGACTTTTACTATTGGTTAAATCGTGAACTAGGACGATGCCTGCAATAGACAGCAGACAGAGGCGAATCTAAAAATTAGAGCTCAGCTTCAGTGCGTTCCATACTGAAATTATTTTACAACGAAGGATAATGATGTTTATAATAGCAATGTTCCGTTAGATGAACACCATTCATATAGTGTAATGGAATAGGACGCTTAGATTGAATCGTCTTATGAACTTTATTTCCATTAAACAACATCGCGTATGCGAAATAATCTAACTGTTATTATTCCTAAACAACAGAATACACGAGCATAAAAACAAAACACCGTAGTCACATTTAGCACTACTACTGTCTACTGATGATACCCTGAATTGTTATTCACGTGCCTAGAGCTCATCTCTTATATTCTAGGAATGCTCGTCCCCATGACCTTTCTTACTCTTTGAAATAGCACCTTCTCTGCTGTGTAATGCAGATCTTTGTAAGCATGATCAGTTACCTCCATTTCGGTTTAGGCTTAACTAATCATGATTCAAGTAGTAATGTGCGATCCTGGGAAGGAGTACTTTTCAACTTACTACTTGAGTACTACAATAAAAACGAATAATAATGTTATAAATATAGCCACCATGGACGGAATTATAGAAGACTCGTCGAGCATTGGCGTGGCCCGTGTTGCCTCCGATCTCCCAAAATTCGACAAAAAACGTTCGTTGTTGGTCGGTTCCTTGTCGATATTCATGTAGCTTTACCTGGAAACAACATAAACGCTTCATACTATAATAAAAAAAAGCGACGAGCATAATTTTTGCTTTTCACTCATTTAAAGTAACAACTGACTACTTAATGGCTATTTAAAATGAGCTTGAAAGTATTTTTAGACACACCCCTTTGCTTTTGTGTAGAAAAGTCAATGGCGCGGATAAGAAGGATTCGGGATTTACTTCTTTCAGTAGACCTCGTATTCGCGTTAAAATAAATTGTTGGTATAAAGACGGTGACAACTTTTACTAAAAAAATGATCAATCAAGATGAAAAATTCACTGGACTCAAACGATTTATCTCTCTAAACAACTGAACTGACCTCAACGTTGCATCCAATGGTCGATGCGAGTGATCTCGCGGCGGGCCTTCCAGAGCAGATCAGCTGGACGACTGACGACTTGCCCACGCCGGAATCTCCGAGGACTAGCACCTTAACACGTTCAACGCTTATAGTACTCATTACGTACGCCTTCTATCAAGTTCCCTGCCTAATAGACTCTTCAACGTCGGTCTATGAAAATGGAATTATGAACGAAATCGCCTCCTTCTGCAAAGACGCATATTGTTTTGACTTTAATTTTTGGCTAGGATTTTCATTTGCATCTAAACCTATGAAAGAAGTTGCACAAAAAGTGCTTTATAAGGAAACGATACGATTTCCTGTGCATAAGATCGCAGGAGTATCGATAACAATAATAATATTACTGCTGTTTTCATTTTCAGGCGCAACATCTCCACTAATACCTAAGGCGCTTCTGCTTATCCATGTAAACCGACACAGTATGAAGAGTATTCTGTAAAATCACACTTTTCGAACTTTAAATCATATTGTTGGAGATGTGAACCACAAGGCTCTCTCGTTTTTATTTACGTGGTAATTGATCAACCAATCTGATTTATGCACCGACTTCGACATGAACGAAGTCATAGCAAGTGATATCATAATAGCAGGAAAAGAAATAACCTTAGGAAATGGGAAACATTATTATTAGTAGTAAATTTTACTTCTATATTTTAATTCTCTAATTAATGGATCCACAAGAATATACAATAACTACTTCTTTTACACGCAAGAGAATATTTCATGGGTCTTTCATATTTGATATATTTCATGAATAGCTCTATAGTTCCTTTTTGTTTCTATTATTACCACATACAGTTTAAGGGTTTAACGATTCTTTTGCGTTAGAAAAGGAAGGTGTTTTTGTCGTAATTAAAACTCTCCTTTCCATCTCTTTTTCACTCATATCGATGTAATATATTGCCAAATGCTTAATTTCTTCTAGAAACTTCCATGGTTATTTCATTACATAGGATATAGCAGAATGAATTCATAGGCGGACATTCACATCCGGTCAAGTATTGGGCACAAGCAGGCTCATTGCTTTATATAACCGTTTCTAAATGCCCCAACCTAAACGTGTATGCAATGTCGCTTTTATGGTCAACAGACCAATAAAATAAAAAAAAAAACAAAGGGGACCAGTACAATGTACAAAAAGGTATTATCTACGACTTATCAACGTACAAACATGGAAGCAAAATTAAAGAAATACACGTTTTGAAAATATTATGACAATTGTCACAGCTGTTTGACCTGCAACGCATACTCTCTACCATTATAAGAACACTCTCCCTAACGTAAATCAACAATGCTTCTACGTGAATTTTCTCCCAGCTCATAATCACCTGCATCCCATCGGGAGCGCGGCCCGATATTTTCGGGTCTCCCAGGTTCAGTTTTTCGAACAACTAATCAAATTTAATCTGGGAACGTGTTCTGTTTTCAGTTAAACCTAAATTATTCTTGCCACATTTGATTTTTTCTTTTGATACCTCTCCGACAAGAAGGTTCACAGAAAAATATATATAACGGAAAAGCTCGGTGTCTTTTTCTAGAAGAAACATTAAGGCTGTAATTTTAACCAACCTGAACTAATAAAAACATAGTGATTACTCGATTTTTATGTCATGAAAGGCTAGCTAGCACACAGGCACGTTTCATGTTGAAGCTCAGGTTGTTGTGCTAATGCGACTCCCGGCGTAAAATTCGAACTAAACTACCATACACTTTTTGTACAATCCGAGAAGGTACGATCCCGCTTTTGTCTGTCACACTTTCTTGGTCTACCTCGATCGATGTCGTTGTATCGGCTTTTGACTAGCCTGAGCATATGTACATTTTTTACTCAGTTATTTCAATTAGTCTTTTTTTTTTCGAAGTTATTCCTTCTTACTAACTAAACTTGCGAAGAAACTCTTAGTGAAGCTTCTATGGCAAGCGCTTGGTAGTTAACTGTATAAGAACTGGTAATATTGTTGATTTCAGTTACCGAAGTGATTGCGACCGAATTTAGAACGCGCGATTACTGTTCGATGTTGTTGACATTTTATTATATCGCTTGCTTTCTTTAGCAAAGATTTTTCTAGGCTGTGTTTTTTGACAATTATGTCGTGTGTAGTGACGTTTAAACCTCTCAGGCACATAATATGAAGATTGGAATAAATAACTGTTGTAAAGAAGCATTCAGAGGCATTTACACTACGCGTTTCGCGTACAAGTAAACGATATATTAACCATGAACCTATATCGATTAAACTATAATATTTTCCAGAAAGCCGTTTACTCGCGATACTTGTCTACAGCGACGACGGCTCGGTCGGTGATACGAAGGGGGGGCCAGCTAACTAAAAAAAAAACAGAAAATGAGTACTTCTACAATATTCTCGCCCAGCGAGACAAGTTCATCTTCGGCAAGCTAAAAAGTAACAAAGAGACAGTTATGAAAGCGATGAATACGGCCGACTGTCTGTATGAGTTTTTCTCCGACACAACGAACACGAAGATAGAGGATCTCAATCCAAAACTCATCGATGATCTCGGTCAGTAAGCTGAAGAGTACTAAAACATGTACGACTAAGCGATAATTAAACTGCAATAATTTAAAGCTGATTATACATATGGTAGCCTACTTAAAAAAACTGGACACCAATTACCGCGGTTAGATTAGAGGTTATCGCTCATGAAGTCCTTTTTGACTAAAAGCGTAATGATTGGCTATTAATAGGATAACCTGTAAGACGATTCTAATGTCATTAATCTACGATGTGTAAGTTAAAGTCCCATCAAATCACTCAACAACAACGAGAGGATAAGACCGAGTCCGACATACTCATGTGGAGATTGCGAGCTACAAAACAAGTGTACGCACTTCGTTAATAATATCATTTGTAGTAGTGTCCAGAGGGACTTGAAAACTGGAAGTTATGAAGCACCCCAAACAAAGGGTCGGCCAAGAGAAAAGTGTTTTGTTAAGATACTTGGCTGGTTCGGCTCCGTCGACGTGTATATTTTTATACAGGGTACACTAAAAAATGTACATACGAAAATTTAATTGAGTGTTTCTTTTTGACAGTACAGTCACTAATGCCAATAATTTAAATTTCAATAGTAAATAATTTAAATGAGAAGACTTTGCTGATGAGGGCAAGTTTTAATTCCGATAGCACAACACAGATGCACGCTATCACCATAATGTAAGAGTATACCTTCATTGAGTCTTCCAAAGAGGTGGGTAGGAATGACACTGAAGAAACAGGCGACATAAAATATCCTGCCTGTCTCCTAGATCTGGACTTTTTTTCTGGAGCGATAGTTTAAAGGTAAAGTTTACGTCAGAAAAGCAACGTTATTAGAAAATTTGGAAGCCGCAGTTAAGTAAGGATGTCTATCAGCACCAAATAATATGTCTGCTGAACTTTGAAGAATCAATAGCTAGCTCAGCGCTAGCAGCAACGTAGTGACCAAAACGGGAATAACTTCGAACATCTTCGGCAGGACCAATGTCATGTCAATGAAGCATTAGTAATTATATTACTTCCGCTAGCAACGGAGTTGATTATACTGACACATGTAGTTTTGCAAGATTATCTAAAACATGGATTCGATGTACTTTTGTTGCAGCGCTTACGATTCCACACCTGGATTTGCATTGCATTTACGAGGTGTTGCTCCACATGTCACGATATGAAGTGCCTAGGGGCACAAGGAGTGAGCAGCAAATGAAACTAGGGGTGCGTAATCACGTTAAAAACCTGTTGGGTAAAGGATGCTAAAAACTAGACGTATCGATTACAGTACAGAATAGCTGGACCCCTGTCCTTTGTTAATCTCCGTTGCCTTTAACCAGAAAGAGAGACATTTTCTACCAGACGTGGATTAGAATCAGAGCCGCAATTCTGTAGTAACGAGTATTTACATTTATTACATCAATGAAAATTGCGATTTCGTGTTCTCTCATACAACCCTAAAATTCACATAGAAACCAATTATGATAATGATTATCATGTTGTCCTGGGCAAATGATTAAATTAAGGAAGTAATGGATTTGATAGAAATATTACTTTTCTCACATATAAGACCAAAATCCAGTAAAACTTTATATGCTTACTGACGTTCTTATTGCTGTGTTTATCTGGATTGTTTGTCAATCTTTAGAACGCTGTGGATCAATACTGTCAATTGACTTTGCCGAATAATTCATTCCGCGACCAAATAGTAGTGTTGGATCTCTATTACAGATGTGGGATCTTCAAAAGTAACCTTTTTAAAAGCATACTCATCGCACAGGTATTGAACGTAGTTTTTCTATGCGTTTTTGTAGCCTAGTTGTGCTTGACTGAACCTTAATGTGGCTCCTACTTGATCTAAGCAGGAATAACAATATATTAGTTAAAATAATGAATGACCCCGGATTTGTTCATCTCAAGTGCCCAATTGTATTGAGTTTTTAAGAGCTGCAGAATCGTAGACATCCTTACCTTATAAACGGATTGTTCGCCAGTTCTTATAGATTGGGAGGTCTAACAACTTTGGTACCATTCCTTCGCTTAAATAGTTTTTGGTAGATTAGTTCAATGATACACATAATTGATGGCCTGAACTTTAAAAAAGATAAGGCATCTTCAGCTGGAAGTACTTATTAGCTTGATAGCGGAACACGAATGCATAAACGACTTTGGTAGCCCAACTTCAATTATTTGCACCATACACTGGTATTGCCTGTTCTCATCTTGCCCTAATATTTATTTGTATTCATAAGAAATAAACAAGTATACCTTTTAGCGTCGACCTGTCAATCGTATCCGTTGTAGTCACACCATATCGCTGAATGGAGTCCCGAAGAGGTGGTACAGTATTTGTTTTTGTCTAATTTGATTCGAGAGATACCTGTTCGAACCGTCGAATGCGTCGAAAGCGTATTGTCCGAGTGAGTATAGAATCTTGAGCCTTAATTGTCATAAATTAATTCATTGAAATTATAAGATCGAATTCTTATTTCATCCGCTATGGCCACATATGTTTTTCTGTGTATTCGACTTTCTGGCTATAGATGGGTTGCTTGTAAAAACCTGTAATACATATCGAAATAATCATGTAAGCGCCTGATAGACAAATCGACTGCGTATAGTTTACTTGAAAAATGTTTTTACTGTGTTTATATAACCCTATTACGTGTTTAAGCTAGAAAGATGTCGGGCACCATTTTGGAAAGGGCAAGATAGCACAAGGGTTCCTTGATTATCTAAGAGACGATTCGTCGATATGTGTCATGGTAATCGGGATTATACGCATATGTGGTCGTTTGATGAAAATGTAAATCCTTGTCAAAATCCTGAAATGACACCCTGCATTTGAATCGTAAATTTAGACAATTACCTTTAATTTGCAATTTTTTTTGGCATACAACTAAACAGTTGATCCATTCGCAAACGTTGATCTTAACGAAGTACTCTATAATTAAAACCGGTTTAGTAATACGAAATAATATCTTTATTTTTAAAATTTTAATTTTATGAAAATTTAATGAAAATGCAAAATTAAATTTTTTGTTCTATTCAATATTGCTTTTTTTCGCTTGTAATTTTAGCAATAAAAAAAGATTAACTAAGACCCGAAGCATTATTTTGTCGGCCCTTTGAAATGCAGTGTGTTTTACACGAAGGTCTCAGTATGTGTATTGACGTACCATTCATATATGATATTACTACTGTAACGTGTTGTTTATACGAATCGAAAAGGTATAAATTAGCAGCGTGAATAAACGTGATCTAATGATTGGGCATCCATTGGGCAAATCTACACCTCTATTAAACTAACTCGCAGATTTACTTCATTCTGTTATTTATTCCGGTGGGCGAATTTCCAACGGCGTCTTTCTCAATGTTTGATACCATTGGCATTCATGATGACTGCTGCCATAATGAAGCATACTCGCGTCATTAGACATCGCAGAAGCTGCCATTGTGAGTTACTCGCTTTACAAATGTAAGGTTAACATCGTGAGCGTTAGTTTGTGGGAAAGATTTATGAGTCTTGTCGAGAACAGTATTAGGTCCGACGAGCCCGTGGAGGAGAGATATATATCCGCTTTTGCAAAATTGCTTCGTGGCTATGGACAAGTGCCAATAACCGGAAGAGTGGGTATTGTTAAAAGGTATGTTGTCTTTAGAGTAAAGTAAAGAATAGTATATTTATTTTGTATATATTTCGACAAGTATATGAAGTTCGTGTGTGTGTATGTTGAGCCAGAATGACGAAAATCAGTTTTTCGTACCGAAGAATGGCTGACATCTGCTTATTGCATTTGTGCACAATTTTTTTTACATTACATTCGATCACAAATAGCGCTGTACTATCAGTGGCGTAAGGCAGTGATATCATACGTGCAGTTTAGTCTTTAGCGCATCACTCATGACTTGTCGATGTTGATAACGCCGAACAAAGTATCGTATGTGTGTTTCTATGTATCAAACATAGTTACCTTAAAATAATTGCTCATATGTCTTTAAGTTTAGAAGGCAGGCACGCTACCGCTGTACTTACATGAGAACAGCCAGTTTAAGTTTTTATTTGCTAAAGATGTCCTGATGTCATTATAGCAGTATTAAACATCCTTAGGAGGTTCAGAACAAAGTTAACGATATTGTAGGCTTATTAGTAGGTTGCAGCCATCCCGTTGGCATTATTCGTGTAGACCACGATTGAATTAGTGTAAAATGTAGTAGTAGCGTTGGAAATTTTCTTTTTTAGGTTCTTGGATATTTTGTCTAACGTGGACAGTCAGAGCTGGTCTCTTGAATCTCAGGTGCGCGTAGCCAGCGTTGGAACACAGGTAATAGGAGCGGACCACGGCAATGATAATCCTAACGTAGAATTTAGCAGTACAGAGTTCATACATATTACTCGAAGATACGCAGCTGATATTTATTTACACTCTTATTGTTTTGTGCCAATTGCATTTTCGGAGATCGTTTCTATATCGATCCGTGGGCGGTGACATATTCGCGTGTTTTACGAAAAAGAGAATACTACATTTTAAATGTGCGACAAAATTTATTATACTGTGTATGTTCCGCTATTGCTAATGACGTTCTTTGTCCGGCAGGGAGTAGTAAGTTTCATCTTAAGGAAGTTTTTAACCATGTTTTGAGTTCTTGTTCCGTGTCAAAGGTAAGGCCACCGGTTGCTCAGTTAACCCGTTCCGCGTCAAAGATAAGGCCATGGATTGCTCAGTTAACCCGTTCCGTGTCAAAGATAAGGCCACGGATTGCTCAGTTAACCCGATGACTCGAAAATCCATTACCGCAACATCCAGAGATGTAAAGGGCACAACAAAACTTTCCATTTGAAGTCCAGGGAACAGCTTTGCCAATTTTTGTTTATGGTTTCGCGTTGTCATGGAACCGGATGACCTGACCTTTGTTGGATTTTTTTCTTAAATAATCTTACGTTACTCGATATAATAAATGTGCCAATCAATTGCTCGGTTAGTAGGAGGCAACTGTCAGTGAATTAGGCTTTCGCACCTCCTACAAACGTAGGGCATAACTTTTTCCTGGACATGGTTGAAATCTGGTTCTTGGCTTGTCTCACTCATTCCGATCTCTAATTCATGTTGACGTACAGATACCACTTGTCATCGCCGATAAGAATTCTGCGCAGAAATCGGTGGTTGTGGCTGTAAGACGCTCGATAGCCGGCGAGATGTTGAGATGCAGCGTTGATTCTGCTTTGTTCGATTCAATCAAATAATAAGGTATCCAAGGCCCAAGTTTCTATCTAAATGCAAAAGATTCACTGTCGCGTTGCTTACGCCCATATGCTCGGCTAATCCCCGTGTTGTCTCTCAGCCGTTTTTTTTTGGAAGTGCCTTCAGATAGTCGTCGTAGAGCTCAAACGGTCGGTCAGAGCCTCCTGGATCCCTGATACCGTTTTTTTTTAAACCACTTTTGAACGATCTTGTTAGCCATATTGTTAATACCCTGCACAAGGCAAATACTCCAGGTTGTTTCAATAGTGTTTTGGCTTCGACGCAACCGGTAATACAGAAAGTGTCGAAAGTGCACCCTTTTTCCGCCCGGAATATTCATATTTGGGGAGTAATTTCGAGTTTTAATTGCACTCGCAACACTTACGTTGCTAGTGCAGTTAAAATAAATAACACGCTACGGCTAAAATAAAAGCATCGAACTATTTTCGAACTGTATATCGGAAGTAAATGACAAGTAAGGGGTGGTGGGAAAAGGAAGTTTTTTCAAAGTGCGGGAACCTTCTTTCCAACCTAATGTTATGCATAGTCGCTTGCAAATAGTGATTTACAGGCGTTGTTAGAAATATTCCTTTTTGTATGTATCTCTAGATACGTCCAGCTAAATAGCTCATTATTAAGTTATTGGTAAAAAATCGCTCAACCATGCCACTCTCCTACGCGGTTTTCCTTTTAATATTATTATTTTTAAACGCCTTTGTATTATATAAGGTAGAACATCTCAATCCTTGTTTTTTTCTTATATGTTATTTTTAAAACTTTAGACTTTAAATGACAATACTTAAATGAAATTACGGGTATTTTAACGACGCAATTTCCACATGCTAAAAGTGTTATTTCTGTCAATCATATCTATTTAGTATAATCACCATTCGCTGCCATACAAATTTAGATCAGACATAAATCACTAATTAATCATTTTCGAAGTAGTCTTTTTAATTTGCGAAAAACCGAACATGAAGCGATTTTGGTAAGTATAAACTCTTAAAATGTCGCTCAAATACGCTAAGTACGACGAAATTATATTCAAAGCTGATGACAAGCCTAAAGTCTAAAAAATAGAGAACTTGGAACGACAAAAACGTTTGAAAATTTCAAAAAAGCGCAAAAAGTTTAAAAAAAGCCAATCGCTGAAACTTATTTAAACGGACCAATCGGCAATTTATATTTTCCTCTCCTTTATTTTCTAATTTCTATATCAAATGCCTAGGTGTACTCAAATGGTTTTTTGAGCTATTTTGATTAATCTTTAAGCCTTTTAAAGCAGAACCTTATTGAAGATCCTTTAGTTTGCCTCATGAAAGTCTTCACTGGGTTTTCCAGGAACCGCATAAAAGCTGGCAATCACTTACACTGTCGATCTCGGTGTTTAATTTTTTGTGAGGGTTTGTTCAAGACAGAAGGATTAGCTGAATTTTTGCTCAAATTGTAAAACCAACGAAATAATAATTGTCTCGACGGGTTTGTTTATTCGTTCTAGAAAAACTGTTCTTTTTTTCTAGCAGCAAAGATAGCGGACAAACACGTGCCCGTTACGGCGGACTAGAATTTGTCCGAATGATTGCCCCACTCTGTATGTATTTCCGTTATGTTTTTAGGTAAAACTATGCAATGCAAAGGTTGTCTACAATGCTTTCTTAACCCTCATGGCCGAGCTGGACACATGCAGACCCAAATATATCAGCACTATGCTATTTACCTACGCCTATTTTAATTTACATATTACTGCGGATCAAGGAAAAAGGTACGTCTTTCTTTCTCTTCAAATGTCTATTAGCGTAAGATCTAGGAAAAGAGCGGCGTGTTCCCATCAGTTTGGAAGATTCTCACCAAAACATGCTCTTACATTATGATGATAGTGTGCAGCTGTTCTGTTGGAATAAAAAAAATTTATCTCCCGAATGTATGGTAAAATATTTACTTGAGTAGAACCAAGTAATTGACCCTGTCACTGTACTGTAAAAAAGAAATAATCCTATTAGTAATTTGCTTGAAGTTTCGCAACACCCTGAAATTTTTGGCCAGTTCGTATGGTGTTCTGCGTCCATGTGATTTACATACACTTAACATGTAGATTTTTAGAGTTAGCTAGTAACCATAGTTATGTCAATCAGTAGTCGACATTTATTTTTAATATACCAAACAATGTATTCCTAAATCTGTGGATTCTGTTCAGACTTTCCAAGTACTATTCGCAAAATTTTGTTTAGTCTGGATTATCTTTATATACAATAACATGTACCATCGTTGAAGCATAACTTTTCCATTTTCAACAACCTAAGGTGCAATAGACACTTGATTTGAAATTTCTAAGGTCACTATTTGATTCTTCTGAGAATTTTTTGTGAAGATACATTGTAATTTTTCAGTACCTGTTTTTTTAGTTAGTGCTTCCAAAACATGGACCCAATAGTTTCACTCATTTCGAACCATTCGAATTTCATCCAGTTAATTGAGTCGCATAGGTTAATTTTTCTGAAACATTCTTTATTTAAACGATATTGTCTTTGTACTTCTGATAAATTTTCAAAGTTTCGATAGCGTTTGAAAATCAAAGTTAGTCAATTAAGCTTGAAATGTTATCCAATAGTTTCCAATTAATTACGAAAACGAGAAAGTTATAATCTAGTTAATACTAATGTATGCAATTTTTGGATACCTGTATATATCTATATATATATATATATATATATATATATATATATATATTGCACCGATGCCCCCGCGTTTTACATCTTGGCTTGTCGGTTGAACTTTTGTGTTCTCCTTGACTGCACTTGTTATCCACAGATAACCTAACTAGAGTAACATGCGAATACGTTTGTTTTTATGGTCCCTTAAAGTTTGTGCTGGAGACACGTAACGAAATGCGATAATTAAACTCCATGCTAAACTACTAATGTCGACATATATAATCATTAGAAATTCTTCGATTTGCTGTTACTTTTACTTGAACTCGATTTTGACAGTTAACCTTGTTGATAATGGCTTGACATAAATAAACTGAAAGTTATCTGTTACACTGTAGAACTTGAACGCTGAATCACATAGACTGAATTCATATTGTATATGCCTAGTGTATGGCTATTTTTGGTACCAACAGGTTAATTGAACGCGTCTTGAATCCAATCGACGACTACCGGCGATATTATTTCCTCGTGCTATGCACGTGGTCACTGACTATGATGGGGTTTTACGATAAGAGACTCTACATGAATTCTTTCGATCCACACAAGGTTAGAATATAAACTGACCTATATTATGCTACATGTAGGCATGGTACAATGCATCGAATAAGAAAACACACACAAAGAGCAGCTTCTTATATCTTTCATAAACAAGTAAACAACTCTTGTTAAAATCTCATTTATCAAAGCGCGTTTCTTATGTGTTTTTCTGAATTTGAGCTTTTTATTTGGGCAGTTGCATTCATATTTGAAAAAAGGCTATTGAATATGTTGTCCCTTAACACGTGTATAGCTTGATGGACTTCCTGTTTGCACAATTTTGCTATGACGTCTTGGCTAATTCGATGCACGATAGAAATAAATAGAATTTGCTCTACCTACTAGAGTATCTTCACGTTCACTTTTCAGTTGCGTTCAGAAGATCTTCGCGGACTAGATTATTGCCTGGCAGTCATATGGGATTCTTATCGAATTGAAGCCCCGTCAATACATAAGTTGGTATGTACAGCTAATTTAGTAAATAGCCGTTTTGAACGAGGTCTAAATATGATCGCCGATGATCACAGAAATATCGCATATCTCTGAATCTGTTCACAAACTTCATCAGTAGCTGTAATCAGAACTGCTTGGGATACCTTGATCGCCCTACAAGATACATAGATAATTTTCTATTTCTTGTGCATCGTATCTACTTCTAAATACCTCATCATTCAAGAACGATGTTTTTTGAAATCTTTATCCAACACTTAAAAAGTTAAAGTATAAGTGCGAGTTTAATTTAAACATCTATAAACATATATTTAACAATAAACAGTTTCGACTAGTAATGTAATAACAAAGTTGTTGTATTGGGATCAAAGTGCTAGATCTTTTAATTAATCATAATGCGCACAAATTAAGTATTTCTGTTCCGCTGCGATTACGCTTTTCTGGTTCTCTATTTCGGTTCTTTTTTGGTCCAACGAGGTAAACGTGGAACCTACGTTGATAGACAAATATCGCATGAAAACAAAGCAGGACCATCTGAGAGTGACTTCGAGGTTACAGGAACGTCTAGCCAAGGAAATTTATGCTATAGTTACCGAACAACTTGAACATGAAGCTAAAATAGGATGCTTTATGCCAATGTACGTTGAACAGGACGTCAAGGTAAGCATATGGAATTTAATGAAATTCAAGCCTTTTACATTCCTTATTATTAGAAGCATTAGCAGTAGACTTAGCTTACATTATTAATCTTTTCTTCTGTATACACCTTAGTCGTTCGCTAATAACATCTGCGAGAATGTAACAGTTCATCGCAGCAACATGTACTCAGCTGTCGAATCGAAAATGCCTAATTTGTGTCAATTATAATTTACCCAATTGTTTTTTTTTCATTATTATCTTCAAAAACAAAGACGAACTTTTTCTGCTTGCAGGTGGGAGACAAGATCATTTTAGTGTGTCACGGGCTCACAAGTTATTACAACGATCAGTATCTTTCTGGGGGCCCAGCTCATCGGGTGCGTCTGCTTCGAGCCAGTGGCTATAATGTCGTTGAAATCCCGTATAAATTTCATACTTCCGGTTTGCAACTTAACCAAAAAACGTCACTTATCAAACAATATCTGCGACCTTTATTAAGTTTAAACAAGTCAAATCGCTTCACAAAGCAGCGAACGATTAGGCCTGGCATCACTGGCGAAGATCTTATGTAAAAAATGCCGTTGCGGACCTGTGTGTCACGCAACATAGAACAAACATGAAATCACAGAAAGTTATAGATATAGCCATGTGTTCGGCGATGCAACGTGTACACGCTAAGCGCAGTATGGGTGGTTTAAAAGGAGTTATGCTTTCTAATGTCTTCAGTGTTATTGAGACAAGGAATGACTATGTTAAACCCTTTACATGTAGGTGGCAGGTGAAGAGATGGCGCTTTTTTTGCCAGGCACTATCGCTGATCAAAGAAAGTTTATTGAATGACACTGCGTATACCGTACTGTAAATAAAAAAAAAATTCAAATATTTAAATGCTTACCGACTTAATTATTAACTTCAATAGTATTCCCTTCGCATCATCTTAAATCGAATAGTATACAGTCAGAGCGACTTCCTTCAAACGACGAGTCCTTTAAGCTCTACTTGAAGGTGCTATGCACCGGTAGAAGTTTATCGACCTGTAAGATAGATATATTGCTTTTGTCCTATTAACATAACGCTCATTACGTTTCAAAGGAGTTTATTGAGTTTGAAATATTCTAATAAGCAAGTTTGGAGCAATTAGAACAAGCGGTTCAATAAGGAATGACCCTGCGAATAGGTTACTGAACGCGGTCCTGATTTTCGGGAGAGTTTATTGTATATCACAGGGAATAACTAATAGCCGTGCTAGTCGCTTAAATTGGCAAGTCGTTCTGAGATGTGTATGCGTTCATTGACCAATCAAGAAGTATGTGAACTAAGCCATGTTTAGTACGAGAGGACAGAGATTGATAAGAGTCGACTTTTAGGTAGTTTTCGTTGTAGGGTCGGTCATTTTTATTACTCCTTGTTTATATCGATTAGCAAAGCCAGCCGGGAAGGATCTCGAGATGATCGAGGTTGATGATTTACTATTGCAGATTAATCAGGGAGACACGTTACACATCTTAGCGTTTTTGTTTCAACTGAAACGACGTTTATGCGATTGTAGCGTTTAGCACCGGCACTTAAAGCAGTACAAGAAGTAAAACCCGAATCATTTGTATGCATAATAGGAGTTTTTAACTTGATAATTTGAATTGTACTTCCTTTATAAGGTAGAACAATTGACGATTATAAGGAATAATTTATTATTAGATAAACAAGACTACTTACCATAAAGAAGCCAATAACAATGGCTTTAAAGCTGAATAGCGTGTAATTCACCTATAGCAACTTCAAGAATCTGATTATTTACCTTAGAAACTATTTAGAAGACTTGTTCTATAATGTGTCACGGCCTTAACAGGATGTGTCAACTGCTAGGGGATTCCAGGGGATGACATTTGTGATAAACTAAAATTACAGCTTAATTCGCTTTCAGTGTTCATTTTTATTGGTAAAAAGTTAGAATTTATTTCGCCACTTTACAGGCACTGCTATAGGCATCCGTCAACAGACGCTCGAGTTCTCGTCATCGACCTTTGTTTGTCCTCGAATCTGATTGAAACAGCTCTTCGCGAAACGGCCGTATGTGCTTATCCGCAGTCTCTCGTCGACACACGTCACGTAAGTTCGGCCAGTCAGAAGATGTCATCACAGAAACAATCAGCAAAAATCGAATTAGCGCTAAAAGGTCTTGACGTTATGATGTCACTATTGAGCAGGTCGTCATGTTTACAGACCCGATGACAACCACACGCGACAAACTTATAGTTCGAATCTAGTGGCCAACCCGGGTATAGCTGAGTGCCTTCTTACAGACTTTTTGCGCTCAAAGTACTTTTTGTCCTATCAAAGCAAGAATGTAGTGCTTTGCGTTACGGCATCGATTTTGGTCTATTTAATATACATATATATATTCGATTGAAAATTTGGCGGTCGTGCGTAAATTCAACCGCCTCTTGAGGGGATTAGACGTATGGCTGTTGGATGATAATTACTGATCGTTATGTTTGTGCTCATAGGTGTAAAAAGTGACGAATATTTTTAAGTGCCCAAACTAATTGGTTTGCGCGTAATCACGTTGATCTGCCTCGACAGTGAGATTTTGAAAAGCCGAAAAATTATTTACTAATGACAAAGGGATCATGACTAAACTGTATTGCTTATTTACTTAGCTTACAATTTCAGCACGTTCTAGTCAAGCAATGACATAAGGAGTGGGAAAACGACAAGGATTCCGCTAGAAATATGTCTTTCTTCTGATCTAATAAGTAATTTGTGACAATCGTCACACACTGCATCGGCAATAACCTATTTTTTAATAACACACCTATGTACTGAAATCAAATACATGTACTAGGGGAAAATATTTGAATAACTTAGAGGAAATATTTATCGAGGCGGTAAGGAACTATCTATGAACGGAGTGACTTTTATATGACCCTAAACCAGCGCTTTACTGCGATAGAATTTCGACGTAGCGAAACCATAGCGCCCGGCAGATGAGAAACAATCGAACGAGAAACGTTTTTTAAGTTAATATTCTATATATAAGCAGATGGAATACGAACATGATTAACGCCAACTGTACGCGTTAATTGCGCAACCAGGAATAGAATCTTTATAATTTAAGGAGGACATTAGGTTTATATTTATATATCAGTGACTGATAGTATTACCCTAGACTGTTGTAACCTCCTGTTACGTAAATTATTGTGTGATTTTGTGCCATTGATGTAGATGGACTCCGATTTTACTCTTTTTTCATCATTTCGCAATGTCTTATTTGAGCAACGCAAGCTTCAAATCACATTAACCAGTTAACGCCGTTAAAAGGGCTCGGGAAGTGAGACGCGCTATGGAACGTAGGCTCATCTATGCAGACTAAATGGCATATCTGCTATGACAAAGGTGCAAAATTTGAGTAAAATTAAATAATGTCAGAAGAGCTCACCTTAAAAAACCTTCGTCTGTCTCAATTGGAGCAGTTGCAGATCAATGCTCAGAGACCGGTTTTGCTGCCTGCTTCCCATGTATTTGAGAGTAAATAACACATTTGGCATATGTGTGATATTTATAATAGGCTCTACAGGCCTCTCCAGTCTATAATGCCCAATTAATAATTTCCGCCGAAATGTATTACTCTATTCATTATGCCGATTTGCACCTATACCCATAGTAAGCGTGCGTCTACACGCTCGTGGCGCTAATACGCGGTGTTCTACTCGGATTGTAGCTGGGGTTAGTGGAATTGAATGGTGTATACTTACGTTGAAATCTCTACGTGAGAAAGCTATCTTCCTGGTTGCATAAGATTCCACATATTGGATGGGGAATTGCTAATAACCTTACCTTTCCCACGATTAAACCTCTTCCATGTGGTTACCGCATTGCGAATACCTGCTGAGGGAAACAGGATTACCAAATGCCTTAAAATGAAAGCTGCTGCTTCTTCAACATTTACAGTATCCTGGAAATGTATGGTTTGAGAAGCCTATAAATGATAATAGCCTCGTATGTTCACACTATGTAAACCTAATTTCAATAGCACCCGAATAACTTTTTTCTTTGCAACTCATTTAAATATAGTCACGTGTGATTTAATATTGCTGGCTGACGATTTCAATATGTATACATGCGATGCAAAGGGAAGCAGTACATTATAGAAACTTGATGAATAGTAGAAAAAACAGAATCGAAGATTCTGTTTGCGGCAACTATAGCATTTGGAGCACATAATGTTTGATATTCTCGTATCGAGCTGGTTGCCAAAGAGTAATCTTCAAAACGTGTGCTTAGAATGTTTGTTCTAATTAAACGAAACGATCAAGTCTTATATCAAAGTCACAGACGATACGACGAAAGTACTACACCCTCTCTATTTCATTTCCTATATATTTGACTCTGCACACCAGTGAAAATAAGCGGAGTTGTGACAAGAGCTCTGGTGATAACAACCATTTATTTTTAACATTGAGACCGCACGGAAACTCTTTAACTTGGAAAGATCAGTGTGACCTGTTTGAATCTTGTTACTTGCCATTTACTATAGAATTTGTGCAAGGAAAGAGAAGACATTAGACACATCTTCACCAGCAACAATAGTTCCTAATGGATGTTAAACAGAACTTGCTGGAGACGCGGTTTTTCATATTCTTGCAAATGTAAGTATTTCTAGATTTACTTAAGTGTTTACTTAATTTCCCCTCATACGAGCTCGCCATTTTCACGACTCAAAAAGAGCTTTGCCAGAGTGAATTTGGTAGCTTTGCAGAAATACGACAAAATAGTTTGTAGGAAAAATGTTCAACCTTGGAAATGTTTATCGTAAAAGAAGAAGGGAATACTTTGCTTGAGTTTTTCGTTGTTGTAGATTTAAGGAATTTAACCCACCGCCTTTACCTAAATGGCCCGAATATTTCTGAAACCAAACTTGTTTGTACAAGCGAATACAGTCAGTTCACAAATATCACACAAACTCCTTCTTTTAGCCAAAAACCAAACAGTTTACTAATCTCCTCCGTGGGAGAAATTATCCAGCAAAAAAAGAGTAGTACCGCATTCTCAACATTCGAAATAATAAAGGATTCAACGACCAGCTCAGAAATATCATTCACTCACATCCAAAATATATGCCAGTCAAAACAGACCCCCTTAAATGCAACATGTTGTTATTTGTCAAGCAAAGCTTCGATTCTAATATACGACGGAAAAGTGATTTAACGCTTTAAATACATAATTCGCCCACTTCATTATAATTTTATTACTTGTATTATGGATATGATCAATGTCAGTATTATCGTTTTATTATTACACATATACTATATGAATCTATTGTGATTCAAGGATGAATCTTGCCAGCAGAAATGAATTCTACAGTTATTTAAAGTTACCTATTAGGCCCCAGCTAGGCGTTCTACATAGAAGGACGGACCTAATACGCCTACACTGTCATTCTGCTTGGGCTCTGCTGATATCGTCTGAAGCGTCTCGCCCGCGTGGTGCATGCTCGTTCAGCGTCCTCTGCCCGTATACTGAATTAGTAGTCAATTGGAAACGAGAACTTTTCCTTATACCTGAGTTCTGCCTAGCGAAACTACAGGCAAGGACCCTCATATAAAGCTGATCTTTTTGCCAGGCTTTGACTCTTTTTTTGCCTGCCCTCTTGTTCTATTTCTCAAGGATCTGTCTCGTGTCTCACGAGATAGGAACAAAAAGATACATTAATGTAAGTTTGATATACCGCCAGAACTAAATAGCGTCGAATATGTCTGGGTTATTTTGACAGTGACATCGATTCGATAATAACCCGCAGACGGTATAAATATGCTGCGTAGAAGCAAAATTAGGAGAAATACATTGTTTCGTTTTCTAAAAAAGAGAATGTGTTTATCGTTCACAGTCTGACAATACATTTGGCGCTTGGGCCATATCGGCTACTCTCGGAATTTTGGGCGGCATAACGCCATTGTTTCTATCCATACTCGTGGTAGGTACAACTTCAGTATTTGTGGCAACCTCACTTAGAGGAGCTCTGCTAGCTTCATTGGTAACCGGAAGTGAGGTCTTAGGCTTCACAACAGTTCGTTCTCGAGCTTCTATCGAGAATGGAGCTGTCGTTAACGGGATGGAAGTTACGGGCAACGAGTTGGTGGGTAGTGTAACCAAAGGCATCATTGGTGCGGCCAGTTGGGGACCCATAGAGTCAACGAACGCACTAGTTACCGTTGTAGAAGCAGTGTTTGGAGATGATAACAGGTTAGATTTCGAGGAAGAAGAGGCCGTCAAAGGAGTTGGCATGCCAGTCAGAACGACGGGCGCTGCACTAACAGTTGAAACTACTGATGACGGCAGTGTAAGCATCGCAGATGGCATAGACGTCTTCGAAACCTCTGCTAAGATCGAAGGCGGATCCATTTGTACGACGGATAAATGACAGGCAGAAAGTGGCGTCGTGACTATTCGCTGATCTAGAAGTACCTCTGGTGCTCGGGATTGCGACGATACAGCCGGCGATGGCTTAGGCTGCAAATACGGGAAAGGACATTGTGAGTAAAATGATACAGGCATAATGAAAGTGCTATAGGTGCGTTTTGAAGCGCTTAAGTCGGAACACTCGAAAACATGAGAAAAAATTTAAGATAACACGATTTTTTTTCAGTGTGCAAGTTACAGCCTGAATGCACCAAACAAATTGTAAACTCGTACAGACATTATATAATGATCTATGATTGTTCTTGATGTGCGTATTCCAAACGTTCATTACGCTGCCTAAAATAGAATTATAGCATTTATAGCAAACATTGGGTATGTATGTCAGGCAGTCTGCCTTGAATACATGTTTCATGCGACCTTTTATTCACATGAAACAATGTCCCGAGGAAATATGTTAGCAAAGCATTGAGCAAGCGGATACGGTTTGGCAGTATTAGGAAGGAAACTCCAACGAATGTTTTCGAAGCATCAGAAATACCCACTGATCTGATCCATAGACATGCAATCTGTGATGCAGATTTATTGAAAAATGATTTATTAAATTTTTTTCTCTATAACCACCGCGGTTGACTTGTCACTTTCAGCGTAATAAGCCGCCCTGTACAGATAGTATCAATCAATGCTCTTTATAGTATCGTGCACGCAAAAATTGAGTCAGAAAATGAAAAGCTGCGATTCTCCAAGCTTAGAGTGCCACCAGCTGTTTTTATGCGATTCGTCGTTCGTTTCAGAGCTACTGTCGTTGCGTGGTGGATGCTGTAGGTTGAAGTTATGAATATCGCCCTGTACCACGATGCCGCATTGAGCCAAACTACTTTAGCTATCACTCCGATCTCGCCTGGTAGCTCTGCAAGCTCCAGATGCCTGCTTCCAGCCAATTCAGAGCGTTCGGGATAGAATCTTTAGCTGTCTTTTTAGGCACAACCAAATCATTCGGTGATACACGGCCAGCTTTCGCCTTCGGAGCATAGCAAAAGGTTTATGACATTTCCTTTTGCTGTTACCTTTATTTTTAAAGATGACGTTTTTGCTCCCGTATCATAACTTTTGGTCGCAGCTGATTCCACGGGGTTAGCCGGGACGCTTGCAGCTGGGTAAGCAACCACCGCAGAAGGTGTCGGCGGGGCTATTTTACTGACCTCTGCTCTAAACGTTTCCATTTTAGCTGCCGGTTTCCCATGTGCGACCGATGCGTTAATAATCATTTGAGTAGCCTCGTCAGGTCCAGGTGTAGGAACTGTTTGGGTATTAGGCTGTTTGTTTGCAGCACTTATACAGAGAAGGTAGTCTCCTAGGAAGGAAACGGGCGTGGTTGGCCTCTTAGCGCAGACAACGATCAAAGCATCTACCAGGACGGCCTCAACTCCGCTACGCTCCACGAAACCGCGCTCGTCCGAGTTCAGTTCTATTGATCAATGTAACCAATCGGTATTGTCATGCGAAAAATCAAATATATTTTGGTCATTTTTCTAAACGAATCCATATTCATAGCTACGTTGATCGTACTCCAAATGAGCGTGTGCGTTGTACACTTTTTAGGAGTCTAATTAGAATAAATTAAAAGGATGAATTATGAAATGTTTGCTTCGCAGCAAAGAAATAATATTATCGTTAATATTAAAATTATAATTAAAATACTTTCTCAGTAATTTCTATATGTAGAGTATTCGATTAGAGATACTGTGGTCTACTACAAAGGCAACCTCTACGTGACGGCATTAATTCGGGTGGGGGTAACTGCTAATTAGTTTCTGATTAAGAATAGCAAACTGTCATATATTATGTTAGTATCGATTTATGCTTTAATCTGCTATTGTAGAATAATATAGCGACCGTATTTACAGTATTTCAGTCCTATTTCACTTAATTAGGAACAGGTTACAGCCAATAGAATAAACAAGAAATCACTAGGCTCAAATATTTTGCTAGTCTTACGTTTAATCATATTGGACACGGTGTCCCGAACTTCCTGTTTAACGTCGCTCATAGTAGCTGTTCCTGATGTCGCGCTAGGCGATCGGTCTGAAAAAATAACGGTTGCGCGGTAAGCGAACTACTTATTAGCCAAACTGCACATTTAATAAATAACAGAGGTTTAAACGATTTGTTTTTACCTTACCTATGTTTATTCACTAACAGGAGCTTTGAGTTGCAACGGAATATGAAAGTTCAGTAGTGTGAAACGGTATACAAACAGTTCCTTTAAGATGCCGTTCTGTAAAGTTAATTCTCTTAACACTGGATTCGATTGATTCGTAATGCAAACCGCTGAACGTTGACTGGTCACCTTTGTTTATTCGGTCTGAGTCAATGCCAGAATCGTCGTGGCCGGGCGTATGTTCGTAATTGCGGAAGATATCCTCGATTGTTAGCGCGTCCGGATGGGTACGGTAAAAATCCGCTGAATTTCCGTTCTAGTTTCAACAGTCCGGTAAATGAAACGACAGAAAAGGAAGGCATGAAATGAAGAGAAAAAGTTCAGAAACAGTAATTACACATATTTAACAGCACATAACAACACAAATATTTAAAAACAGTATACACCGTACAAGGACCTTGCTTGTTCTAGCATCTACAGCCATGTTTATGGGTATTTCAAACAGCAGAAACGATCGGTGCAGCGCTGGATAGATACGTCGGCATGGGACACTGTACTCTAAGTTCTATGAAAGAGTTTTCTGTTCTGCCTAGTCAAAGTGTACCAGAGAAACATGCTTACGTATTCATTGAATGGATAGAATTTGAATGACTATAATAAAAGCCCTAACAACAACGAACGAAACTGAACGTGTATAGACCACCATGTTTCATTAGTAATTCTGGTCAGAATCAGTGTAGAGTCGTTGGCGATGGGTGTGTGCGATTTGGGAGGTATTCCGGTTTAACCAGGCTTGACCTTGAGAGTAGGCGAGCGGATTTAATTGCTGCACCTCCGCGTTTACATTGATGAATTTTGGTTTCCGCTCTTAAAGTTATGCCACCTATCGTGCACGCTCCGGTTTGTTTGCCCTCTTCGGGACGAGCGATAGTGCTCCAATTTTCAATTTGAAATTACACAGAGAAGGGCCTTGCCGAGGTTCGCGAGTTAACGGTTGTGTAGTGGCTTTATTCTCATTTTTTGGTGCAAAAATATGGTGCTGTCATGTATTTTAAATTTAATAGCGCTTGTTATATGTGTTTTTTTTTTTATGCAAAATTGCCTCAAACGAAGTTGCATATCTCGAAAGTTATATGTTTATTACTGAGGTATATTTGAAGAGACGTTTTATAAGACGAAATATTACTACAACAATTGGTTTTGAGAAAATAATACTACGATGTATTAATTTTGTGTGCGAAGAACTCAGTGCGAATAATTAAACTATAGTAGCAGAAAACCTGTTATTACTAGTTACTATGTGTTTGTACCTTGTCTTTAATGTTTATATCTGCTCCAGCATTTCGAAGAATCTGATAATAGTCCACATCGATGACTGGTGCTACTGCGGCGTAGTGAAGTGGAGTACGACCCTCGTTATCGGGTCCATCCAACGTTTCTGGAAAGAACTCAACGATGTATCTGCAAAATAATGTTGTAGTAAACAGTAAGGTCTTATATACTAACAAACAGGATCTAAAAAAAAACAGTTTGACTTAGATAGAATACACAAAAATTGCTTTAGAAACATTTTGACCACTACATATAACGGAGTCAAATACTTAGCCAAATTCAATGATACGCTTTCTGGTCGACTTCACGGTATACACTGATGCAATATAAGAATAATTGAGAGAAGCGTTCTAGCATGAAATCGAGTTCCCAATAAGTAACGTGTTTGCCTGCTAATCTCAGCAACACATGGTGGTCTGAGTCCGGTCTTAAACACATTTCGTTTCGCGACGACAGAAGCAGCCGTCTGACGGTACCAGACGCAAGACAAAACATATAATATAAGTGTAAAACTGCTCAATGGAGCCGGTATTCTGCACAGTGTGAAAGTAGTTGTCGGTCATATCCTTCATTTCGTATACAATTTCGCGCTTGGAATTGTGCTGATAATAATAAAATACCTATTGCAGTTAGTAAGTTAGTTCTTGAACCGTATTAGTTAGTAATAACGGTAGGTTGTCTTCGAAAAGCTTAATTCCATCCATGCTGTCTATCTATTTATGTGATCAGGGTGCAGCTGAAGAAAACAAGTCACAGCAAAAACCTGAAGCAAGGTACATTAACATGCCTGCGGCAAATACTAATAACTGCACAATTGATCACGTGATCTGTGAACTTACTTGAGCACATCGGGATGGCCGTAGAGAATAGATAAATGCAGCGGACTAGCCCCGTTCACGTCCCGACTAAGGGCGAATCTTTTCCTAGTCAACAACTCTTTAACTTCGTGTACGTCGCCCTTAATCACCGCTTGGTGTACCTGCTGGATTTTGTCCTAACGAGCAAAGAAGATACACGCACACCCACATTGCGCTCAGTGCTCTTAATTAGAATGGCACGTAGATAGCCATACGACGTTAGGTTAATCAGATACGAAATAATTAAAAAGTGTCTATGCAATCATATCTATGAGCTTTGTCGCAATCAGTATTCGTTAAGCCAGTTCCCTTGTTCGAGGAAATCTACAATAAATATTAAAACGATACAGGTTTCGACGGTCAAAGGCACAAAGGTTTTAAATGATGATTAGGGATAATTAGGACTGAAGGTACTTCATCTCGTCTCCAATTGACCTCTAAACGGTCAAATTAACTGCTTTTTTTTTAGAAATTCTTGTTACAGGTATCGGATTTTTGATCTTTTAATTATACCTGGCTATCCTCTTTGTGAGACCAAATTTAAGGAATCATCCCTTTCGTATGTATTAGGTAGGAGCTGTAATGGTATTCGTAGATATTCGTGATTGCTATTTATAATACTTGCTACAGCAGGAGGCATTCCGCAGCAAGAAGAAAATGCTTTCTTTGTCACGCCTATCAAGAGGTCCTTAAATTCTGTTTTCGTCAGCCTTATGGCCACTATCACACAACAACTTTTCACTATTTGATGCTGGGTTGACTTACCATATAGGTTGGAACAAGGCTGAGAAATTCCTGCACTTGGGGGTTACTTGAGGTCTTCCCTATAAGCCGTTCTCCTTGTCCAGCAATTACTACATGTTCCAATCGTAGGAGGTCCTCTTCCTTAATCCAGTAGTCAATAAGTTCATTTAACCGATCTAAAAGCACCGGCCAGACGCACTTATTAACACATCAATTTGCTACAATTCGGTGTTACACACGTAAAACAAAGATTTCGCCTCGAATGAATTTATAAACGAAGATGCCTTTAACAACTATCACAAACAATAAACTCCCAACTAGAAACAAAAATCAATCTCCGTGCGAATTATACCTTCATCTAACGTTAAACTTTGTTCAATTTATCTTAATGGCAGTTAATGTTATGAGAGCGCTATTAACTTGTAATTGGCAATTCATCATTCTGCAGCGTGTATGTATCTCAATGATGTTCGCCTCGCTGGAGAAACTTTGAACCAAACGAAATTTGAATGCTTAGGACCCCGGCAGAAGTAGAACGGCTTGCCGCTGCTCGTAGTCTGAACTTAATCAAAAACGCGGACTTGGGCTCCTAACGTTCCGGTAGCCGTTGTTATTCGGTCAGTATCGTGTTGTACGGCTTTCTCCATAGATACAAAGTAGAACACAGGGTCTCAGGAGACCCTTGGGATGTAACCTGTTCCTGGAAGTAGCAGGCCAGTAACACAACGTCAAGGGGCAAAACGTGACATCCCTCGGCCTAGGGACATATTGGACCGGAGATCATTGTTGTAGTTTTAAGCAACCGGGGATCGTTTTCCGCCAGATTGAGCTTAGTTTAACGTTAGGTAGTATAGCTGTAAGTGTGTTAAGGACAGCAGGTGTTGGCAACAGCATGCGCTTTCGGCAAGTGTACTTTGTAACAGTCGTTGACGCTGTTGCCTCATAACTTTGGAGCTTATGCGTCACCTGGTGCTGAACAATTGCAACTGTACCGTTCCAGTTGAAGAGACTTGGTTTGATAACTATTGCATCGGGATTCGAGAGGAGGTGGCAGATACAATAGACACGTATCGCTGGTTGTGTCTCGAAATGAACTGAACAACAGAACGATATACCACCTGAAAAACTATTGTTGGGACGGAAGAAATATTTCCTGTCGTCTAAACGGTGCTCGAAAGATACAATGAAACATAGAAAAAGACAGAGCTTGACAGAAGTGTATGGAAATAACGTGAATCAAATACAGAAGACAGTGAAGTATACACGAAGTGTGGGTTGAGTCCTTGTGCACGTCAAAATGTAGCTGTTGCAGTCTCAATCGACTCCTGACTTGGGGCGTGCCGCAAAATAAACTAGGTGCAGTTTTGTTGCTATGGCAACTCACCCATTGCAGCCTTCATCCGCGTAGCCTGTTTTCGTTTACGGCTTTTACTTCGCGTACGAAGACCTGATTGCGCTTCGTTAGGCGTTTTAGTGACGTCTAATACCACGTTTTCGATGAACGCATCACTAGTCGTTGGGGCACACTGTTCTGGTTCGCTGTTCACGTTAATTTTTGATTTTTCAACCGCGACATCATCATTTACTCCTTCAATAGTCGGCACCTCATCATCTGCATTCTGAGTTGTTTCGGCGATTTCTGAAGCTTCGCCACTTTCCTTCCGTTCTATTGCGTCAGAATTTTCTGCATTTTCTAAATTAATTGCTTTTTCTGCCTCAGCTATTGCCTCGACTTTATCGGTGATTTCATTTTCGGAATCTTTATCTTCATTTTCCTCGGTCTTCGTTGTTGTATCCTTACAACTTTTTGCGTCTTTTGCAGTGGCATCCCCTTCATCAGTCGGCCTATCTTCCTCGGAGTGCTCGTCTTTATTTTTTTCTGCTTCATCCTCTTCTTTATTCTCAGTTGTCCCGTCGGTTTCGTGCGTAACTGCCTCGATCGCTTCCGCAGCTGCCTCCTCGCTCTGCATAGTTTCCTCGATTTCTGCCTTCAGTACATCCGTATCAACTTTATCTGCAGTTTCATTTTCGTCCTCAGCTGTATCATCCAGGACTGCTTCACCATCCACTTCAGTAGTTTCATTTTCGGAATTTCTTTCAACAATGTCAGTTTCGAACTCATCGCCGTCGGCTCCTTCGCCTCCTTCGACTTCGGTTCTGCCTTTATCGTTCGTTTCCTCATCTCCCTCAACCTCGGCTGCCTCATCCTCAATAGGTTTATCATCTGCTTCTAGCGCTTCGCCTACTTCGTTCAATGCCTTTTTCTTCTCTGCATCGTCTGGCGGTTCGTGTTCTTTTTTCACTTCCTCGTCAGTCTTGATACTGTCTTCGAAGGCTTCGGTCGCTTGCGTATAGACTTGTTCAAGGTTGCCTTCCTGCTCTGCCCTGACCTCTACATTTGTAGGTGTTTTGGCTTTATGTGTACTCTCTTCTGCTTCTCGTTCTAAACTTTTTTCCTCTTTTCCTATTTGCACATCATCGCCGCCGTCCTCGGCATCAGCCTGATCAGCCGCTTCTTCGTTTTCTTGAGAATTTTTAGTTTCCTCCATCGTGCCCCCTCCTGTATAAACTTTCTCCTGCTTAGTTTCACCTCTATTAGATTCGTTTTCAGGGGTGCCATCTGCTGACCCCTCGGCAGCTGTGGTATTTGCAATTGTCCCTGCCTCGAGCTTTTCACTGGACTCGCTTGGCTCATTTGTACCTGAGACGTCGTCTTCTCTTGGTTCCTCATCCACTGCTGCATTTTGATCTTCTTTGGTTTCCTGCCTAGTTACTTCTTCGTCAGTTACGGTTTCCGACGACGCAGCGTAAGTCTCATTGTCGACATCAGACTGGGCCTTCTCAGATTTGTTTGTTTCCGGCGTCTCCGATTTTGCCTCAGGATCGCCCTCACCGTCTGTAACCTCACCCGTATTAGTTTACGCAATGTATGTATGGTCAATGCTATACAAATCCGCTCAGACAAGCAAACACGTACAAGTCATACACAAGATGCAAAACACAGCTATGGGTGCAACATGATGTTAGTGCCGCAACGCTGAGTAGACGGAACGTGGGCTTTTTGTTGAACGCTGACTAACTCAGTCATCTCTTGCTACCAAATGATTCCCATCTGGGATAATCTATGGCATGGCGTGTGCATGGCACTCACCATCAACGCTCTTCGCGTGTCGTTTTCCGTTTTCATCTTCAACGGCTTCTGTATCTAGTGTTGCGCAGATCTTAGAACTAGGCACTTCCGGAATGGCCGACAAGGTCCGTTTGGCCGCTTCCGGCGTTTCAAGCTCGCCGACTACCGAATTTTGCCTCTGCGAATCACCTCTGTCGACCCGCAATTCTGCGCCTACCTCAGTTGGGTCTGTCTCGCTTCTCTCAACTTCTTCTTCCTCGTGGTTCTCTTCATTAGCGTCAGTTTCAGCACCGCCTTCAACCGGTTCCACGCCCCCAGTTGCACCAGTGTTCTCAAGGTTCTCAGTATTCTCTTCTTCTTCCGCTTCCTTTTCTCCTGATGCGGCCTCTGCCCCTTCGCCTTCATCGGACATTTCAGCATCCGCTTCTATACTGTGAGGTAAATCTTCTTCAACGGCCTTATAGTCAGTACCGGCCGCGTCCCTTGCAGTCACTTCATCCTTGTCCTGACGAGGACTGTTGTCGTCAGTGGTTGCTTCTTTCTCATCACCAGCATTGTTTGCTTCTGTCGTATCTTTAGTCTCATGCTCTCGATAATTTGCAGCATCGTTCTGATCGTTATTATTTTCTATCTTATTTTGTTCGTCAATCTCGTCACTATCGGCCTTATTCTGCTCCTCTTTGACTGATTCAAATCTCTCGGGGTCCTCTTCTAATTCTTCAGAATGCGGTTCAGCCTGCTCCTCGTGAACGTCATCTTCTGGACACTTTGGCTGGTCTTCACCCTCGCTATTGTCCTCACCGTCATTGACCGCAGCTACCTGCTCTGCAGCATTGCGAGCAGGTTCATTTACCACTTCTTTTGCGATAGAATCTGCGAAAGTCTGGATAGCGTTCACATCTTCACCTTCAGGCGTCTTGCTCTTTTCGCTTTGGATGCCCGAATCAATCTCCTCATCTCCCGGCTCCTCATCCTTATCCAAGTCCTTTTCGCTTTCGCCAAGTGTCTCTGGGGTCCAAAACAGTGTTAGATATATGCAGGCTTTACAGCCAAACAGACACGTAATGGTCATGAAACCATGCTTAACCTCGGGAACGGCAAGAACAACAACAGCAACAAACAAGAGACGTCAAGCAAACTTCCTAAGGATAAAAACCTGTTAAAAAATAAATTTTTTTACTCATCGGTGACACATTAAAACTCACGGTGATCGTCCTGGTCGCTAATGACACTGGATTCGCTGTTCGTTCGAGTACGTACGTCCCGACTCACATGATTGACGTCGGGCATCGACTTTCGGGAAAAGGCACTCCCTAAAGCAGGCAGCGGAGCGGCTCCGGTTCGACGCGAGTAGTCCTCATAGAAGCGTTCGGGGTTTGTCGCTAGCTTCTTCGGAGCGCCCAGACTTCGCATATAGAACTCGGCAGTTCGTCCGCGCTGTTAGTAAATTTAAAAAAATCACCTAACTTTCGGTACATCGCTTTACATAGTTAGCTAAGGCTCTGATATTGACGTTTTTATATTTGTAGGTATGGGAATTTGAAATGAATACTAAGCCGGACATGTTTGCGACAGAAAACATCATGCTTAAACGATTTATAATTGCTTGATATATAGGCGTGGGGCAATACGCATATCATAAAGTTTTGTATGATTCTTCCTTGAGAAGGCAATCATTTGTGTAGCCTTAGCATCTAAGTTAAAAAAAAAAAAAAGGTTTTCGGAGAATTACAAACGAGTCGATTATCGGGACTAATTGTCTGTCCAACTTTACGTAAATGATTCGCTGTTCCTCTGTAGATATAATAACATATATATGTATACAAATGTGAACTTAGGTTAAAAACCGTGGATATTGGATCATTTTGTGACATCCTCTTTGGCCTTTCTTTACTCGAAAGATAGATCCGTATCGTCGTGTATTATGTGTACATATAGAAAAATAATCAGTTACTCCGCATTGGAATGCACTGATGTATAAGACATACCGAATCTAGCGCGCGCACATCGGCGCCATAGTTGACTAGGAGACGATAAATTTCGGCATCTTTCTGCAAAGCTGCTAAATGTAAAGGTTGTTGTCCATTCTGAAACGTACGATAATTCATTGTCACTTTAAACAAAGTTTCCTAGGCTAAAAAATCTTCGATATCAACCTAAATACAATAGGCCCCCTGCTTCCACTCTGAATCAGTCATACATACAGAACTTAATATGAACTATGTCTTTTCAAGATGGTAGTGATCATATTGAACACCGACAGCCAACAGAACTTTACATTTGCCGTACCGCTAAAGTTGTCCTATGCCTATTGTGACCTAAGCTATGTGTACTGTTATATGATGATAGGATTGCACCCTCGAACTATCGCGGTGTATGATATTGTTTTATTATTGATGGATTCGTATCGCTTGATCGGAAGGGCTCGCTATCGGTCGATAGCCGACCTATAGACCCATTGCCATTAAGATAGATGGCATGGTTCGGTTCAACGGTCCTTGATTCCAAAGCCCATTTTTGTAACGGAATCAGGCATTATAATGGTACTATGTTACCCTTTCTGAATAGATGCGACTTCTACCTAAGGCTCGTAGTGGTCGGAACGCGATCAATTCTACCAACGGTCTAATTTCTAGCAGCCCCTACTGGCTTGCCTTCTGTTTTTGCTGTAATGCAGTGCAAATTTCAAGGACGGAAAGGCCCGTCCGCTCTTTACGGCGATTAGCCAATCCAAACGACCCTTGACACATAATACATGCAGTAAATTTACTAAACGGGGCCACTTTTACTACTTTCTTACCGGTGTTTTTGATGTTAGGTACTGCGTGTAGTTTTTCGCTATGTATTCAATGACTTCGGGTTGCCTGTTTATTGTTGCTATATGAATCGCCTGATAACCATTCTCGTCTCGGGCTCGCAGCAGCGCGTCGTCTCGATTCGAAATAATTGCTAACATCTGGACATCGCCAGTACTGGCTGCCCGGTGGAGGTTCTCGATGCTTACGAGTTGTGTAGGAATTTGTCTGTTTCGAAGTAATGTTAACACAAGACAGTAAAAGTCAGAGGCCTTCGTGGTAATCATCAATCCGGTGAGCGATGCTGTCTGCTTTAACAGGAGTTGAAAGTATTGTATCATTCCCTTTTAGAAAATACACATTACAAAAATAGAGTTTAATGGACATAGAGGAACGAACGCATTCGGTTAACAGACGCATGTTTTGTTCACGTAGCTACTCTTTTACCTGAGATAGTGTCGCAATTCCTCGTTCCAGCTTGTTCTACCGACAAGATGTTTCCCATAGCCCTCTATGACTAATTCCTGGGCCAATGGGACGCTTCCTTTCTGTAGGGCCGTCGTGATCCTCTCCGAAATCTGGTTAGCCAGGAGAGCTATTTTGCCGTCAAAAATAAGTTTTTCCTATCTTAGTATGAATTAAAAATGTAAATATAAGATCTTTGAGCTAGAAGGTTTACAAAACCTGCATTTTAGCAAGCTGGATCGATCGCCATATACTTGCGAAGCATTATTCGACGAAAGGCAGGTTAAAAATACACGAATTTCTCATATCATGCGGGAACTTGATGATCGTTTTCTTCTTTGGCTGAAATCTATGCGAAATATGTAAATCTGCCCTTATCATTCTCCGTTTATGCTAACTTATTTATAAATTCATTCTCTACGTATGGAAGTAGTTTAACTTTTTGTATATAGTAGTTTAGACCAGCAGCGTCTGTCGTAAGTCACGAACGTTTACTACATAAAGGCAAACATTTGATATAATATACACCGCATATATCATGCGGTGTATATTATAACAATATACTAACGAGAGGACCTGTCAAGAGGGAATTTGCGCCGTATATTGATCCAGAACATCATATATATGATATTTCGTTACAGCTATCGACTATCACAATTTTATTACCGAATTTTTGCAAAAACTGGTCAAAATTGTGGTAATACCACAGTTGGTATGAATTATACTTTTTATAATTACTCCCTTGGATGGATATTTTTTATAACGCAGACAAATGCAGTAGATGATATGCTGGGCAATGCATACACACTGTAAATCGATTACGTTCTAAAATATGATACACGCCCCTATATCGTCTACAAAGTAGTTTGTTGTTCCTTACATTATGTTTCTATGTGCGTTGTCAACTTCTCAACCTAATTACGCGTGTCTTCTGCTCCCACTAGCGACTTACTAATAGATTGTGTACAATGACCGTCGTTCAATATCCGATTATTGAACTAAAAATAGCGAGTTAAGGTAGCTTACTGTTGAAGTTATTAACATCCTTCACATTATGTGCTGAACTTCGTTCTTCGTGCCTAACAATTGAAATCAACGAATAGACATCCTTTTAAAAGCCAGTATTATCCCCGAAAATAATTGCGAGATTATTTGATGATATATACTATTAACATATTGTGTGTTAAAACTAGACAACGTATGTGTCCAATAAAAAATAACAAACACGGTCACAACGATTTCCTTAGAGGATTAGCAAACGCAGTGAGCAAGGGTCAAAAAGCTGCAAGGCCTGTTTCTAGCCAACTGCAGCTTTCCGTTGATTAAAGCCGACATAATTGAACAGTCCAATGGACCGTTCCACATTTGAATACGTCTGCTAGCGATCACGATTTCCATCATGATAAATATTCCAGCACTTTGCATGCAAAAGCGCTAACGCTATGTCAGGGCTGACACCAACATACTTTCAAGATATCTAGCTTGTGAAGTCCATTTTAACTAATAGCTGGGCATTTCATTAACGCGTTTAAAATTCTGCTCTGCCACTGTTCTACCCCTTTTGACCGCCATATCATCCTGGTAGTCATACGAAAATGGGCGTTTAGTATGTGTATGCATCTACTGTGCAGTTACGGCACTTTGCTGCCGGGGGGCAAGCAACTTGCCCGGCCCAACGACGCCTGCCGCGGATATTCGGCGACCTCGAAGTAATGAACGTGACGGAAATCACAAGCAGCTTTTCCAAGAGAGACAACACCTTTCATTATTTCAGAGTGTAGGGCCTTGTTTGGTAGGACAACCCTTGAGGGAGAGATAGATATTTTGTCGAGTTGATAGATGCAAGAAGGGAATAGAAATTGCACTAGATGAACACATGGTCGGTGATTGTTACAATTGTATTATGTTACGCCTATTTTACTACGCATGTCATTGTCTAACGTTTGTTTTGTTTTGTAAATAAAATTGCTGTCTTGTAATGTGGTCTGTCAGAGAAACTCAGCGGAAATGGTATTGTTTTCAAACATTGAACAGCGTCTTTAGCTAACTTTAGTGATATTAGTCTTCGGGAGTTGTTCGAACGAACAGGATTTTAAAGTAGCGAATTAGAATCAGTCTGAGCTGTATAGATACCTACTAGCGGGGTGTTTCCCGTCATTGCGCTTCAAAAAACTTCTGCTGTTCTAGCATCGGACATTTATGAGTCCACTTTTGCGAGTCATAGGATGTATTTGTTGAATGCACCTCATTTAGATACTCACACTGACTTCTAAAGCCGTTTCGCACGGGAGGTTCTGATTTGCTCCTGAGCTTTCGTCTCGATCCGAGAAGGGCGGTTTCCGATGGAATCGGTAGGTGATGGCTCTTGTAGTATTCAGCAGGGCGGCCGCGCTGTACATACAGTAGGTAGGTATCCGTACATTAGAGCGGCAAATGCAATAAAAGTAATTCAGGACAGTTTAACGCCGGACAAAACGCTAACGTGGTTGTTTGAGATCCTGGCGAACTTACTCCAAGGCTAAGCACTGCCAAAAAACCTTCCATTATATTAAGTATATAATAATATATTGCTTTACCAAGCTTAGCAAACGTCAAGTAACTAAGTTAAGAAGCGTTGCTGCCAAGTCGACTCTTAGTTGTGTAGTTAATTTTTGCTGCAATTTTTTAATAAACAAAACAAATATTAGTAATAATTATAGATTCTACATTTTGACATAAATGGAGGACTAAACCTAACAGAGAAGAACAAAGGAACATGACAAAAGATCGCGTTATATTTGTCGATGCCGTACTTACGTTATCCTTAATACGATTATCGGCACCATTTTGAAGAAGATATCTGAACATTCCATTTTTACCGGTCCTACGAGATATTGCTGCTGCAAAGTGCAACGCGGTGCGGCCTTCCTGAAGTCGTTAAATGGAAATTCTTAATTCGCTTAATTTCGCTCAGGAATGTATCAGGACAACAGCATTTTGTTAACCATTGACGATTCAGAACTTGTAGCCTATGTCAATATCGTGGCTGGCACAAAGCTAAAATGCAACTGAAACTAAAATTAACCCAGCAGTAGAATGATCCTTTCGCTTCCGGTCGTCCTCCCTCCTTGAGTGTCCCCCTCCTGAAACTTATCGTTTGATTTGAAGATCAACTTGGCTTCAAGCTAGACAACCATTGATGAAAGTCAACTTTAGCAGCAATTCGAATTCACAGCTATGGATCAACATCTCAAAGCTGACAATTTTTTTTGTTTGAATACACGCATATGAACGGCCAGCCGGTCGGTAGAAGAGAACTCGCTATAACGGCAAAACAAAGTAACAGATATGCATACGCTTTCAAAATTCGACAGATAGAACTATTTTAAGAGTACTATATAAAGCTAGATATGTTTGTTTCATTAAATGCATATAAGTATTCGTAATTAGACCTATAAAATCAAGACAACAAAGACTAACTCTTCTAAAGGTAACAGGAAAAGTCCGACTACCGATACTTTCCGTCAATTTTCTACCCATAAACCTCGTTTGATGAAAGATCGTCTAGGTCTTTGTGTTGGCAGTCGGCAGCACTCCAACGGGGGGCAGCGGAGTTTTCGCCACATAGGGACACGACAGCCGAATCAGCCATCCGCCTCTTACTGTATCGTTTACAGAAGTTCATATCTCATTCCGACCAAAGTTGAAATAAATATTTCAACTTCTCGGGTTCACCGTCGAATTCAATAATACGTGCTATGCAACAGAAAATTCTATGTGGGGCATGAATTGTAGTCAAGGGTCACCAGATCATACGTAGGAAACCGTCAGGGTAGCGAGACAAAGTGGTAATCAATGAGCCGTATAACGATTGAGATCATACTCCTTTCAACAATGTTTATCAAACGAGTTGGTCGTAATGCGTAAAAGGTCGGCCAGTACAAAATAAACCGTAAAATAAATTCAACTGCAGGTAAACTTGTTTAGTGGACGTAATATCAGAAAATGTAACAGGGCAGTCGTATCTTAGTTTTGTAGTCTATGTAGCGATTATTAATCTAATCATTGATGATATCGCTGGTCTGCTGATTAGAGGAAAAGTTTTAAGACATATTTAATGTGCGGGAGACTAGCCGAAGTACTTGTGAACAGTGAAGCGCGACCTATTCCGGAAAATGATAACTATTAAATACATCAGGTTAGCCGCTAAAAAGGCGTATAGATGAAAACTAATAATATACAATCGAACCTACATGGCAGTTTTATGATTTTTAGCTAGATTGTTTGTTGACAGATCTAACAACTCATCTCCGAAATCCAAACCGAAGGCGCAAAAGGCCATTTGGATTTAGATTCCAGCTAGGGAAAAGTGTATGCATTTCCAAACTACAATTTTTCTTTACATATGATAAAAAGGTTTTAAAAAAAAGTCGTCCTTGCATACCAACCCGATCACGCGCGTTGATAGTCTCTGGGAATCTGTTAACGAGAAATTTGACGGAGGTGACATTGTTAAGAATAACGGCTCGGTGTAAAGGCGTCATTCCAAAGTGGTCTCGAGCTAGTGCGAAGTCTTGAGACTCGAGTTGTGACTCCAATTCGGGAACGTTGCCTGCCAAATGATCATGAATCATTATAAAAATGTACGTCTAGGAAACCTATAGGCTGTGCGTTTTCTTCTTTTACAATGTCAAAATTTCTATCAATTTGTTGGCCAGATTGGGTGATTAATCTCGATTCTCGGTTCTGTTGTCGACAACAGTGTGGTAGCAGCAGTACACCGACTCCTATGCAGTATATCACAGCTTCGTTTCCATATTTGTCCACCGCTCTATTTTTTCTCGGGCGAAAATCGAGCGAACTCGTACGAACTATTTCAAATTACTAATACCATGAAAAATCTCGTGTATAGAGTTATGACAATGCTTGAATGAAGACGTTAAAAGCGTATGGACAGCGACATCGAAAACCGAATAGGATATCATAGAAAGAGACCGCTATGCCACAAAAGTTTCAACACAAATAATGGTTTCCTTGCTTCATCTTTCGCATTTAGGGCCCATTAACATGACACATAGCTTTCAGCCCCCAAAACCAGCACTGAGACTTGGTTGTGAACAAGTTTAGCCAATATGAAAGCGGTCTGCTGTTTTTATCTGACGTTCTGTTTAGCTCTGCATAGTGAGTTGTATTCACAGGCAACGTTTTCCCAAAAATAAGGCCAACTCCAAACTACTCTATTTGCGGCCCACTAACGGCTAATTAGGTTTACGGTGCATTCATAGATTATTTCCGATACAGGTTTGTACGAAAACGTAAAATAGTTTAGTCGTTACGGACCTTCTTGCAGCGCTCGATGTATTGCTTCAAACTTCCTCATGAGATTAGGCACGTCATGGCGCAGATATGCCTGGATTACCTCGTCCCGGGGGTGGTCTTTACCTAGCTGGTCAGCCACCCCACTCATTACGGTTTCATGAAGTTTTTCCACGTTTTGATCCTCAATCCATTCACGAAGCTTTTCAGCAGTGACCATTTCGCCTATTCAACCGACGACGCAATTCGAGTCGTGCGATCGATAGCCACGCACGATTGTTATAGTGCGTTTTTGTTCATTGTTAACGTTTTGCGACCAGACCAGGATTGCGTGAAACAAGACAAATGTATATCGCAGAAGGAAAAATAAGCCAAACCGAAGAACGTATGTAAGCTCTGTCAGAGACATTAGCGCAAAGGCCCTCGTGTATTAAACACCTCAATGACTCGACTATGAACACCTTAGGCTATTTGTTGTTTAACTAGTTAGTGAACCTCTATACAGTTGCGATAATAAAAGTTATTGATTATGCGCTAAGTAATAAACAATAGCAATATTTGTTCATACGTATATAATTACTTCCGGAACCAGGGTGTACCAATTGGCACAGAGTTTAGTATTGATGAAAACCAGTTAAAATTATTACTTGTTCATATCTGGTTATGGAAAAAGTATTAGGCGTCCATAAGCCAAAGTGAAGGCATATAACTTCATATGCTAAAATAATATGACGAAACTAACTATGCGCCACTTCTTCGTAATTTCCATGAACACCATCACTGCAAAAATTCTGTGACGAAGGATTTTGACATTTTTCCATTGAACAACTTTGCATTCCTCCATTGAAACTAAATTAGCACCACTATGTGGTCCTGCAGGGATCTAAACCAATGACAGTCTGATGGTGCCAGATTCGGACGAAAACATTCAGGTTCTCTCAATTCCTGCCAGGTAGCTAAAGAAGACAACGCCTCTTCTATTAACTAGTTCGAGTCGATTTTTGTCGATGGCTGGCCGCAATCTTGCTGGGTACTGGTAAAAAGGTCAATCGAGTCAATCGTTTTGCGAAGCGGTAGCAACTTATAATCCCTCCCAAACACATGGCATCATTTTCATTGGCGTCAGTCTGGCCTTAGCTACAGGTTGTAGAGCTGATTTTTTCATTTATACGTTATTGTTACATCTAATCTATTTTTCACTATCCGTGAACAACCACCCTAAAAATGATTCTCGTCTCGGTGGGTTTCGAACGAGTTTCGCAAACAGCAGTATAATTGATTAACTTGTTCCCTGTCAATTTATGTGGCATCTAAACAACGTGCTATTTTTTTCGTAACAAGCTTTTTTCAATTGTTTACAGCTATTTAGTGATAGATGTTTATTTCCTAGATATATCATGGCTATTCACGTTTCGGACTTTCGCAATAATTTCATCAATTTTTTTCCCTAATTTATCGACCGGTAGTACTATTTTGTACCTATTTAGCAACAAGGTATAGACGGTTTTGACGGTCTTAAATAAAAGAATCTCTTAGTTAAAAAAAAAAAATATGCTGTCTCCATCAACTATGACAGACTATAGCAAATACATTAATTAATTTCAAATGTTTTTTTTTTATGTTTTTTCACTATAAATCATGTCACTAGTGCCAACAAACTGCATCTAAATAATCACATTATTGCTATGTTGTTAATTCGCTCAGAGGAGAATAAAATAATACTTTAAGAGGACTGACGATTAAGCAATGCGTTGTTTTGAAATAAAAGAGCAAATTTTTTATATTTTTTATATATATATATTTTTTTTTAAATTTAATATTAATTGAAATTAATTTAAAATTACTCTAACTATCGAAGTGCGTGTGAAACCGTCGAAATTTGGGTTTGATTCCTTAGAAACATCTTCTGACTTTTATTATTATACGAGCGCTTATTTTAATTAAATTTTAATTAAAGTAATTTTTTACTCATTTTAACTAAAAGTGCGGGGCCGGGTGACCATCTAAAAACTCGATCATTTTCACAACTATAGTGTATATTCTAAGTGGTGCTGCAATGGGTAGATACTTAAAATATTTCATATAAAATAATAAAATATATAAATATTTTTTCGTGAACCAACTTAAAAAAACTTCGCTGTTGGGAACATTATACCTTTACCATCAATAATTGACAAATGAAGCTTCCATATATTTTCTACAAAATAATTTTTGGGCTACAATGATATGTTTAAAACTAACTTTCAGGCTTTTTTTCATTTTAGACGTCGTACTAGCTTACTTCTTATTTTATGCGTTCATCTTTATTTATAAATTTAGACGATTTCAGGTTCCCCAGATGGGCATAAATATAAGCGGCATCGTTTATTTACGCTTTGTGGGCAGGTCTGCTGTACATAGAGTAAAATATGTGTTAACAATAAAAAAAACTATTTATCGTTAACACTGTGCCATTAATGATTAAAATTTTCCATATATTCTATATCATCAATACTACTATAATAGTCTAGTTGAAATAGATAACGATAACATCAATAAAATTGTAGTAATATAAATTTACCAAATGAATAAAGTAAACATTTTTCATTTCATAGCGTATGGCAAATATATCTAATTAACCTTTAAGTATCTTTCTATACCCTTATTTTATTTAACTAGAAATGACTCTCTACATTCTTAACCTCGAAAAAAATCTTAAAATATGTTTTGAAAAATTGAACTTTTCTTTCTACCTGCATTTTATTTTGAATAATTCTGAGAAATGAAGCACGAAGGAAAATATGTAAAATATACAAAAGTAAACATTTGTCTCAAAAATACATAGGAAGCTTCAAAATATGGTCCATTTTAATTAGGGACCTGCATTAACAGGTTCTGGTGATTCCGATGAAACTTTTTTTACTTAATAATTTAATAAAAGAGGAAAATTTAATAAAGACTTTTAAGAAATTCAAGCTCAATTTTAGTGAATCCAAAAGTTTGAATTAAAATAATAATCTGTCGTTCACAAGACGAATTTTAACGGTCTGCCTTAGCATACTCGTTACTTGAAGTAAAATATGGTACGCACTAATCGATTCTATTCAAACTAACCTAAAAACACGTTTACTCCAGATGCACGGTATTTATAGCCATTTCTCATAGTAGAACGCCTATAAATGCCACATTTGGGTTTTCTAGCTTTCACTTTGTTAGACGAAAGGGACCGCTCAATTTCAAAATATTCCTTGAAACCCTAACGGTCGCTTTACCTTTAACTCTTAAATCTGACCTACTTCCAAGACATTGACTTCAGGATCTTTAAACAGTCGATATGAATCTATTGTTGACATGATGGATCTAACTCGAATCTATCGAAGCATGGTGGTGAATGTCGCTGATAAATTGAGCAATATTTCTCACTTCCGAACAACTCGTACTATCGTCAATTTTCGACCATTCAAGTTTCGCTTGAGATTTTGATTCAGTTTATGATATCTGAATTTGGCACTTTTGCCATTTTCACTATTGATAGTGTGTATACGGGTAATTCAACGTCTACCATAGCGGCCGATAGGCTGTGACCACAGCGCCATCGCAAGGCAACGAAGTCCTTTTGTATCTCGATAATTTTACGATACCAGAGTTAGATTCATCTATTGTAGCAATTAAGTGGGTAGTTGCCGCGAGTTTAATTAAAAAATTATATCATCATCACACAGTTTACGGTGTCCAACTGTATGTCATAGCAGCAGACGCTAGAAGTTAAATTTTCATGGACAGTAAATATCGTCTGCGGAGCAGAGCAGAATGACAATCAGAACTCGGATGATCACACTGCACACATACGGTTAACGTAGAGTAAACGCTATATTTTAGATCGATGACAACCACCCACTAAATCGATGCGATACATGCATAAAATTTTTACGTGTATACTTAAGGTGGGCACCATTACCAAGGTATTCTAGGTTTGATATAATGGTACGTCTATAAATCACGCTTTTTTTAAAAATCCCCACTAAATATTGTTTACGGCACTTCGACTATTATAATGCGTGGTTTCGATATGAGCGCGATACGATTAAAGTGGAAAGCAAACTATGCTAGTAATTAAAAACATCCAAACGTAGATTTTGTGTATTTTCAGCCTGAATTTATTCTAACAAATTTCACAACGAGGTGTAACTAGAATACTACGCAAATTTGGCAAAAATTACTTTATCTAGCATAGTTATATTTTCCACAATGTATTTCAAAACGCATCGCGTTGTTTAGTATCGTTTCGTACTGATTCTTTAGATAAATTTAAATTGCGTATGGAGTAAGTCCATCAGAACGCGCGTTACATCTTTGCCTTTTTAGCTTTCTGAAATGCAAGACTTTGAAAACAGCGCATCTATCTAGACTAAAAGTGCTCATCAGGACACCGGTTGAAACAATCGAGTATTGCATCTCCATGCATTCATTACCCGTGTCTCAACTGGTTCAAATAATTTTAGAAATTACTTTTTTTCTCTCTACGCACACTTTACCACACTTTGTCTAAAAAAAAATATCTTTTGCTCTAATTTATTGTACTGCAAGCTCATTCCTAATACACTACGGTTTCGTAGAGACTAATTCTTAACGTTTGGACCACCGATGTTTACAAAGTCAAAATCAACGATGCACCGTTCGCTCGGTCTATCTCCGGTTCTCCTGGTCCGTTATTATGCAAATGGCAAGAAGGACGCTGGCCGCCTAAAACTGCCACTCTAAACTTTGGAACTGAACATCGCTTTTATGAGGTAAATGCTCAGGCCACAGACATCGTGCTACCTGGGACGATCGATGACATCGGACCTTTACTCGAAGCAATTTCCTTGATGCTGACGAATTCTTTGTTTGAGATTCCTCTCCGTCCAAACCCCTCAGTCTCCCAAGGATAATTCCTAGTTCAGACCTCTCATCCTAGAAACGATCCTTGTCTTTTAGTGGCTCTATGCAAGCGAACAGGAACGTTCTCAAATTCGGCAGCTACGACGACCACCACTTTGAAGAACACATACACACATGGCTCCTTCGTCATGTCACACGGACATCTGTTCTACTTTAATAATCTTTAGACCCGTTCTTCTAAAATATCAGTGTAATAGAAATAGGGTATCATATAGAGGTAGAGAAAAGGGGTGGAACATTAGTAAATCATCCATATAGAGCTAATATAGGGGTAATCGTGAATCGTGCTTGGCCAGAAAATAAACAGAATGAAATGATATAAGCTATGGTATGTAACATCCAAAATAGAATGGCAACTCCAACGGAGTGTCTCTAGAACATGTCACTATTAAACAAAGTACTATGCACACATGTGCACGTTAGTTGATACAATAGTTGAAGACTGGGTGGAAGAAAGTAAAAGTAGGTGGGAGAGGTTTTCTTTCGCCAAATTGTCCGCTAGAAGGGGTTGACCTTGGATAAGCTCTAACGGATATCGAACTTAACCGTAACGGTTATCGGCACTAGCGGGTATTTAGAGTATCACATCGATCGAAATAGAACTATTTTGCGTTTGTTTGCCCCCTCTTTCGTTGTCAAATACTTAGCTAGTGAGAAAAACAGGACATCTGACAATTCACAACCAACCGTTTGAAATATACGTTAATTGCAATATGACTAGACAATAAATAGAAATAGAATTTTTCTTGCATGGTTCATACCTGCTACCTGTTTTGTGTCTCGAAATCATCACATGCATGTACAATTTCTTACAAAATACTTTTATTTGTGCATACCTATTGCCTATGACACAGGTTTATTTATATATGCGAATGCTATTTTTAACCTAATTAGCAACTGTGGACACCTTCCATGACCTGAATTTGCTACTCCTAAAGATTTGTTAGCTAATTTGAGCCTGAAGGAAATTTAATTTGCAGAAACAGCGCCACACTGGAATATTTTTTGTCTCGACAAAAGTCATAGCCAAAGAAAAGATCAGTCTGCAAAGTCAGCTTGACACCACATGAAGCTGCGCATATTTGACCGTCGAATTGTGCGACAGTCTCGTCGCCTACATTCAATTACAGTTACATTCTCATACCTTGTATCTCTACAGGGGGAAGGCGACCTCTGGAGAACCTCCTGTACGCAGCTGGGGGCTGTGGCGGCATACTTTTTAGATATCCCAGACACAAGTTGCTAGTTGTATTGTTGTTGAGCTCGTCTTCTGTAGGTGGACTGGGCGGCGTCACCGGAGTGGCGTCTGAATTCTCAGATCCGCCAAAGGGTTGTTTGAAATTCGGTAAATTGCTACTGAACAGTAGACGGTCGTGAAGAACGCTCTGGGTCTCTGCAATAGTATATGATCACAGTATGAACATGCAAAATTCCATAACAATAAACATATTTACAGCAATAACTGAGGCAATAAATGGCCGACAGAGATCACCCAATGTAAAATATTGCTATACCAGCACCCGTTTTGCAAAACTAGTAGCTAAATTGTCACACGAACTCAAAGGCTGGTCAAAGCGAAACGGGCACGAAGTACAGTGTCTTCATTTGTCCGTTCTCTCAGCTTGAAGTTTAAACTACGCAAAACACGCAATTATTTTATCTGTACATAGGTCTTTCCACGAGGCTGAATAAACGCATTTGACTGTTCCTTCCGTGGTGTTGGTCTTTGCGCTTTGCAGTGTTTGGGGTAACTTCCTTTTTGTATATTAATTAGCTACAAGATGCAATACATGACAGCCAGCAAACCGCACATGAAGTCCTTTATCGGTAGCCGTGTCTATGGGGCCAGTCAACGGTTCGGTGGTTGGATGATTAAAACTGAACCAGAAGAGGCCGACGGCGTCCGGCCGTCTGAGCGAGTGCTTTCGATGTGAAGACACGGAGAAGCGGCGGTGCGTGCGGTCCGTTCAACAATGTGTCCCATCGACGATCGACTGGCCTGGCAGCAGGATGTAAGTTGGTTCTGTAGGCTGCGGATCCGGGGACAAAACAGATCAATAAAAGTACGTCGGGCCCTTAAAGAGGTCGAGCCCTCGCCACCAGGCGTCTGATGAAGGGCTATCGACGAGGAGATGCACGGGCACGACAGACACGAGGCCTACGACCTCAGCAACAGCTACAGTAGCTATTGTCAGAAGGCAGGAGAAATAAGAGGGAATCGCTTTCTGTATTAGTTTCATTCTTGCCTGCTGGTGCTTGTCAGTCAGTTGAGAATCGTTGTGCAATACAACGCCAGTGGCAATAGATCGCAACAGTATACGCAAAAGCGTTAATTTAGCAACGGCGACATGTGGCGCCCTCATTCGCTGAACGTGTGTTAGCCATATGCATTATAAGCTTTATGGAATATTTACATACTACTACTACTACTACTTTGACGTTTGGCACCGTGTTGATAATGAAGACGTCGTATATCTTCTACTGCGCTAAACACGAAATCGCAATAGAAGAAGCCAAATTGCTCGGGGGCGAAAAAATCGCGCCAAAAATTTTCTAGGATTCTTATCAGTTGAATAATATTCTAATGGCAGTTCTAGAAATTGGAAATAGGCACCATTTATTTGCAAATATTACATAATATATGATGCATATTCAATTTTTTTACAAAACATGAACCATTGACTCATTCAACGGTAGGATTAAGAAGTGAATCTGTGTCACAGCGAAACTGCTCTATTGTCGCCTTGTATCAGTCTCCAATAGAGATAGATATGCATCGATGGGATTCGGCCAGGTAATTAAAAAGTCCCTGGAAATTTGCTATGATGTTTAGGTTTGGCCTTCTTAACGGTTAATTCGAAACCACACTGTGGGTCTGCCAAAACCAAGATTTTAATTTTCTTTAATAGTAATTATCTTAGTAGTGTTCAGTTAATTGGAACCCTAAATACTAAATATCAAGCTGGGTGCGTTTAGTATTCATGCCTTTGTATGATAACGTTTCCAAAGGTCATCACTCAACGTCTTGTGTTCCTGGCTTTTTCACAGATCGAATTGTAAACGAATGTTAAGGGCCTTTCTCTTTTAAGGAAGGCATCTCACACAAGTTTCTATTAATACGTACTTGAATAAACTGGACAACTTCCAACGAGTCTGATGATCAAAACGCGCTTTAAATAGATTTTGGAAAGAACGCTATTCGCAGAAACGCTGCATAAAGTGTTAACCTTATATTCTGTTACATCAAAAATAAAAATTGCTTCGAATCGCCTACGAAGCTGGAAGCAGCTTTCCCTTTGATTTCGGCTTTATGGTGTTGTTGGACACTGTAAACCTTATCTAGGTGAATTTGTAACGATCCTAGAAATGACCTGCAATATCAGAAGCCTTAACATGATTCTCTAGAGCGTGGACATCCTGTACTGTTAAGTATTGAAGAAATCCTTTTAAGCACACTATATAAGCTAATACGAACATGAACCGCCTATCTTCAATATTAAACTGAAGATGCAGAGCGTGCACCGGAATTCTATTGCGTGAGTTGCTTTTGAAAGTAGACACATGACTAAGGTTGATCATCTTCTTATCTTAATACAAACTGACTACTTCGCCGTAAGTTCACGTACTCGTAACGTTAGGTGCAAGGAACTTAAGCTTCGAAATAGTATTGCCGAGGTACGTCGCGTTGGCGAGCTGATTCTTCCTGATCGTTTGCTCTAGGTCCAATAATTCGGGATGATTCAGGTACTGTTCTGCATTCTTCCCCTTCTGCAATGATCAAAGATAAGCGTGCAAAAGTAAGAAATGTTTTGCTTCTAGTTACAGCCATATTATAAGCATTACGTAGACACACACGTGTGTTTGAATAGCGCCGATTGGAACTATACTAAACATTTACATCAAAATAATTTGCTTATTGTATAACCACATTAGATAGAATACACTTTAAAATACAATAGGATACACAGGGTATTGTCAATAGTAATAATATATTTGCAAATTTTTTTGAAATATTTCATAAAATTGATATATCATAGGCTTAAAAAGGCCTAAAATTAAAAAAATGTAGACAATTTGAAAGCAATAATAGCCATGAATTATATTTGATTGATGAGCACGGCTTGTTTTTTTGTTGCATAGTTCAAAATACAAGATACATACAGAACGTCTCCACAAATTTGTTATTAGCTAATGCACCCGACAGCTTCTACAACAATCGTGCACGGCTAGCTATATATGCATGGAATATGTACATCTACCGTTGCTGCACGTTTTAAAACATTGTCTGTTTACCGCCAATTCCAGCCGACACGACGCATTTCGTCGGTCCAACCCGTCCGTCGCAACTTAGTTCCGACAAACCGCTCATTAAGCTCGTGTATTTGTTCTGACGGCACTCAATGCCGGCACGTTCCTTAATTGTTCTATACTTAGACCTTTAGCTGCTTATAAGTGTGTCAACGGAACAAGCCGCCGCAGCGCCAGCAGCAGCAGGTCATATAGGCGGACGCCAGTCTAGTACTAATCGTAAACATGGTCTTGTCCTACTTTGCTCTACTTGCAAATGAGATCAGCTAGCCAGGCCGAAAAAACAGCCGTTAGTGTTAACCCGCTTGATCGTTTGTGCGATCGTAATCGACTTTACTTCTATCGCTGATTAGCGAAACGAATTTATTTAAGATAGTTGCGGCTTCGTCAGTACTGCGACCGAACCTATTTCATTCACAGTCCACATGATCAGTCTCACTGCGTTCTCTCTGTCGTTTCCTAGGCTCGTTCTATGATTGTCTCAAGCCACGATGGGGTCGTTGGTGTTATAGTCGTCTTAGTACGTTTCGAATCGCCCGCCGAGTAGTAAAAGTGATACCGGTGATCGTCATGTCAGAAGCTTTCTATTCTTACAAGAGCGCCCGGGGGCTGCTGCGGGCGCTTTTAAATAAACAACAGCTGCGGACGATTGATTTTGATTGGGGAATGTTTCAAGTCCTTGTTCCAGCGAGCGTTAAGCAAAAACTGGCTGACTGTCTGCTAACGGTTGCCCGATGAGTTCTTTGTTTGGCCACCCCCTAACGATTAACGCCCTACAATACAGTCTATAGAGACAGGTGGATAGAAGGGGGCGAGGGGTCGCTAAGGGTTTCGCTGCTAGATTGCTACAGCATACAGTCACAGCGTACTCAGCCAATAGAGCAGAATACTTCTAGACGACAGCCAAAATTTAAATGGTAGATAACTGTGAACAAGAACACGTTGCCCACTACTTCTAGCCATCGTTCCATGGGTTTGTGACAGTTGTGCCGAGAATTAGGGCTTGATCAGTCGCTACGACCATGACGTTGAGCGTGGGAGGTACAAGGAAAGGGAGCGCTGTGCGAGGCTACACGAGCACTTCGTGGGGTTGATGCGACACACGACATGTCTGCTAATGAAGTTCGCATCACCAATAACAGTCGATTCGGTTCGCTGGTATCATTAACAAAAAAAGACATCGCCTACCTTACGGAAATGGTTGCTAAAGAAAGATAGATGGATTCTAGTTCACGCATTGGATCCACGAAATTCTTTCGACGATTAGAACGCAGGCAATGATCCTTCACTTTTAGTTTCGAGACAGGTTCAAGCACGACCTTGAATTCTGTGACCTTATTCTGTAATTTTCGATGAAATCAAGGGGAGTATTTCAAAGTGGACATGACCAGCTAATTAGTGGACGTGAGTATATAGAGTATGCCTCTTTCCGTAAATATCATGGGCAATTCAGCTTTGTAACATTAAGCCGTTAAGGAATGCTTCAGATGGCTGCCTGGTAGCGCGAAATTCTAGTTTTGAACCTACAAAAACGGATGTTTCGGGTTTAATGAACGAACACATTGCTGTATAAACAGCGCTTATTTTGCATAATATACATGAGCGTAGTTTTAACTCGTAAATGTTTTTTGATATGCGTATAGATACACGGGTTGAGATTTGTTATTAGTAAACACTCTCTGTAGCGTATAAGTTACAGAAAACGCATCTTTTGTAAATAAAGATAACCGAGCACTTAATAACATAAGCTTTCTTATGTAGAACAGGCTACGTTGCAACCCTCCCTACGTGACACGTCCGCCATACATTCGAGTTAAGGACGCTGCACATAGGAATTAGGCTAATACAATGTAACCATATATATAGAAGTTATATTGTCATATGCTTTAGAGCTACTTGTTCTAAATCAGCTTTCATTGGCCGTATTTTTTAATGAAGTGATACTGTCTATAGGAAAAATAGGTGCGCTTCCGACAGTAAAAAGGTAAAGGGTGAATCCCAAACAGCGCGAATCACGAATTAACATCACTGCACTCGTAAACCACGATGACCAATCGAACGGCTCTTTATGGCGTCTGCTGGAACCGATTCCAGAAGGTTTCGAGTATATACTAAGCGCAGGTACACCAAAACGTATTCATCATATTAATTCTAATGCCCTGCAAGCCCCAGACGATCCCCTCCAGCAGGATCGGTTGCTTTCCTCTAAGAAGAAGACCGGGTGAGACCTAAGTTCCAAACTCGATTATTACTTACGGTAGCAGAGAGCACAGAGCGTTGGGTTCTCTTGCCCGAACGGTGCATCAAACACGTCGATGCAATGCCCACAAGGATGTTACGTTAGCTGCTGTGGCAACGATTCACCGTCATTATTTAACTCATTCTTCATGCTTGAACATACGCTTGTCCGTCATTTGTTTCCAACGAATCGCAATTTCGGCTTATTGATCCTCGGGGCTAGATTTAGCCAGTTACGATTACAAAACTTACGTGATAGAAGTTGTTAGACAGCATGGTGAAAACCATAACTTCAGTGCCGTCTGTCCCTGGTCGAATTGTAATAGCTGCGAACGAGATTATGCATCCCGTCCCCCTTATGCAATGCACAACCCCTCCAATTTAGAAAATAACTTAAGGAAACAACGTAAAGCTTCAATGAAACGGCGGCAGATTGGCGTGAACCATAATTATAGAGAGAAAGCGCGTTTATATTTACAAAGGCAACAAACCAATTAATAACAATCAATACTTAATTTCCCAATAAATTGATAGTGTGTTAACGAGTTGATAACTAAACATGTTATCTGTTCTTTGGTAAAAAGATTTAGTTTAGCCAAAATATATATAATGAAACCAATGACTTCGTCTTCACATTCATATGATAATTTTCTAAATTTACAATTCAACGGTTACCTAGAAAAAGCTTCACGTTAGTATACTTCTTTTATTTCAGCATTGGCTATCTAGAGCTCTGCATAAGCAAACAATTAACGCACAAGAAGGTTACAGTCCTCTACAGCAATGTCAAGTTGCATGTAAATCCTCATCTGCATTTTGATCGTTAACAGTCGAGACAGTCAAGCGTAGGAGCGTTAGTTGAACTAAGGACCAATGATTTCGATCAATAAGTTCACGTGGATTTTAAACCTCTTCTATATATGTAGTATCAGTAAAAGATATGATGACATCCTAGAAAGCTCTCGTATCTTCAACGTCACACCGCAGCAAATATGCACGCCCTGGAGGCGTGGGCCAAAAAAAATCTGTGGCTGGATAACACAAGGAAGCGATTATTTATGTGTGTACGCACCGTATATATTGCGGAGCCTGGGGACGAGTGTCGCCTTCGGAAAATTTACATATAGATATTGGCGTTGTGTTGATGTTCAGCAACCGTTTAATAGGGAAATTTTGTAAATGAGAACTGACAGCAGGAAAACAAAAAAGTAAGCCTGAATCATTGTTCATCTCAACTGAATTAACACTTGCCCGCTACTCCCCGTCCTTTGTGTATTATCCGTGAGACACACACCTTAAGTACGTAATGATACCAGCCACCGTACAACGATCATAACATAGGTGGATAGATACCTAATTAGTGCAATCATTATGAAGAATGTGCGATGCCCCGTTATCTTCTGTGCTATGTTGTACACATTGACTAATGGCACGAATACACGCAATGCCTGCATCCATTTTCTCTGTAAACTTGATTACATTATAGATACCTATTCGAAAGAACTTACCGAATCCAGTATATTGGCAGGTGCGCCGGCGAAGATCAGCATATCGTAGATCTTTTGTCCGTCGCGTAGGCCAGCGGCTAAATGCAATGCTGTGCGACCATCGAGGCTCTTAGCGGCCATCGACGCAGGAAAATTTAAGGCCATGTGCTCGGCAATGTCGTAATGTCCGAACAAAACGGCCTTGTGAAGTGGGGTCAGTCCCATCGCATCTCGGGCTAGCGAGAGCGATTTGTGACTGATTAATGTCTGCACCTCGCGCAGCCGTCCCCGAACGACTGCTCGGTGCACGTCGTTAATTTGCTCCTGAGGACATGAAACGCGTATAGAGGAAAATATGGCAAGGCAAACAATTCCGTTGACAACAAATTTGAATTATGTCAAAGACCTTGTATGTTCTATAGTACTTACTAACTAACAGATAACATTATGAACGAAACGTATCATGTGAAGCGGTGGTATTTTTGCTATTTTTTCTTAAAGGTTTAGGATTTGGAGATCCTTATTTTCGAAACATCTTAGGTATCTGTGTGATGCCGCCTAAAAGTAAAACTATCCTGACGCAAAGCCCAATATAATCAAGCCTGAACTAAATTGCAAGTTTTTCAGTCATTACAACTACTCATGGTGTCTTGAGAAAGTAAACAAAAACAATTAGCAACGTCTGTAGTGAAATCAGAAGCAATGCATGTTAGAAGACCACACTGTGGACAACGATTTGTTACCACAGTAGTTTAAATTAAACTAGAATAAGACACCTACCATGTAACCAGGAACTGTATCAAGAAACTCTTGAACCACAGGATCGGATGAAGTCTCTCCCAGTAACTTATCACCGTGGCCGTGAAGTACGAGCTCTTCCAAAACTTCTAGATTTCCATGACGAATCATTTCACGAACTTGGCTTCGATTACCCGCCCGCTCTGCAAAAGGTAGCAGCATTACGGCATCAGGGAAATATCATCATTTTTGAGATTCTATCGCTGATTTAGAGTCTCGTCCTAGTTTTGTGCGGTTCGAGAGTCGAGAAGTGCCGTACAAATCGTAGCATTTTCGTTCCCGGATACCCAGTCTCAGCACTAAGTTATTCGATGGTATCGATACTAGTCGTCCGCTTATTGTTACTGCAGGCAGCGGCCCAGTGTATATAGCAATCGACAACAACGTGCGCTAGGATCTGTTCAATAATCTGGCTCAATTAATGGACGGAATATTAAGCAAAGTGTATACGAAGGCTGTGTTAGATCGTCGATCGCTGTCAAACAAAAGGAGATAATCAGCCTTTCAGGAGAACTGGGTTGTTTACATTTATTTTGCTACCGTAATTTGAATTCAGCATCACGTGGCATGATCTTGAACGCTACAGCATGTACCTAAACAATATTCGATCCTGGAACTAACTGTTGCCAGGCCTATTATATAGCCTCTGAGAACTTACTGGCCGAAAAACTTCTATTTATGGCAAAATTTTCTCGATGCTTGATGCGGGACGCCTTGTGCAGCGTCCCTTCGCGACACCTGGCAGATCGGTGCATGCCCTCTTGAAGCTGATCTACAGTAAGTTCATCGGATTCCAGATAGTACGTCGGAGTGTGACCGTACTGAAAACCGTTTTTCGGTGCCAAGGCGTTAGATAAGAAGGCTATAGTCGTCAACCATTGTACTTAACTATTGCACTCTGTTCACTAAAAATTGTATCGAATTATTTTTTAGCTTTCATTAATTCATGAGAGCCTATTGTAGTTTTTATTTCATCATCAGCAGACGGTCCGAAATCCTGGCCAGCCTTGTCCGGAATATCAACTTATTTACATTTGCTGATTTCTACTGGGTGACCTATCTCTTGTTGTTTTAGTTACGAACACGTGTACGCGCATCGTAGACAATCAAGTTACTAGCTCACTGTCATGGCACTTCCTATTCTTTTTATTTTTTTATTAGCAAAGTAAATTATAGCTAATACAAATTAAGTTATTATAGCGTATAGTACAGCAAACGATGGCGTCACTCACCAATAAAAGCTTTTACTGGGCACCGCCGGCTTGCCTTCCAGTATTTAAAAACGGTTTTATTTACAGATAAGCCTACTGTCCTATTTTAACCCAAGGCTTTAAACTGATGTAATCGCAAACGGTTCTGCTATACGCTGTCAAAAGGTTGCAGAACGAGAAGCGTGGGCTAGATTCGTCCATGGATTACATGTGGCATTAGATCTTGTTTGGGGGCATTGCTCTATTACCAACAATGTATATAGTTAGGCTTACGGTAATTAGTCAGATGGCTTTCGAGAATAGCTTTCGCCATTAGCAGAAAATCTGAACGACGGCAAGCCTCTAGGAAGCGATTCGATTTAGGTGGATCTAAGGAGATGATCAGGTTATAACTGAGCTCGATGAACTGTACGAAATACGGAACGCATGTTAGTTACAATTGATCCAATGTACCAACTTAATTAAAACTATACCAACAAGTGTCCAAACTGATGATTTGTAAACGCTTCTCAATATACACGACCCCTAACAAAGCTGAGATCGATATCAATTCAGGGGGTCTCTTTTAAGGCGCCCATGCGACATTTTCAATTAACTATTGTCTAGTAACGTCAAGTGACATGAATTAATTCGTTTGATAAAATACTCGTCCTGCGTTGTTTCTCCCGGCGCTGTAAGTTCAAAAACAGCATTTGCAATTGGTACATCATGATTATTAAGCTCACAATATATTAAAAAATATCGTCCGGCACAATACTAAGAATAAGTGAATGAAGATCAGTGCCATTGCACAAACTTCAGGACCGTATGTAAGACAGCTCAACAGGACGCTACGTCAGATCGTTCCCAGTGTAATTAACAGCCTCGATTAACTGTTTCTAATAAGTTCCTGTACCATACAACGTTGCTACGACTGACTTTACATAAATTGTTCGTTCGGCACGCTTAGAGCCGTAAAGCAAATACACAGAAGTGGATGTTGTTTCAAAGCATTTTTTCATTCTGGAAAGCTTCGCTAACTAGGTCGTATCACACCGTACACAAAGTCTTCGATAAAGAAACGTTTGAATTGAGCTCGCAGTAGTTAGTGAAGCCCACATAGCACAATACTTGCCACGTCGGTGGCGTTCTCATCGGCCCCATGTTCGAGTAACGCGTCGTAGATTTCCGGATCTTTCTCGAGCACAGCTGCGTAATGGAGCGGAGTCCGTCCTTGCTGTAACAATAAACAGAATATAACTTGAGTTTGTTTCCGTTACTTTTTGATTTGCAGAACAAAGAAAACACTGGAATTTTGTACGGGGGTTCTCACTATACATGCAGTCAGTCCTATACGTACTACGAAAAAATTCTACCAAGTTATACACGGGAACTTAAACATGGAAATTTAGATAGGTTATAGTTTCCAGTTGTGAGTCTTAGGTTATGACAGCTGAAAACACCCAAACAAGGGCACCTAAGCATCGACGTGGATTTTAGGCAGCTGAAATTAAATTGCGCAAATTTAATCAAATGTCAATAATTTATGTAGAAAAAAGTTCTGCTTAAGATGATTGAAACTATACCAACAAGTGTCCAAACTGATGATTTGTTAGTTCTATAAAGACTGCGATAAAGCTAGCTCGTCATTTTTTTTGCATCAGTATGAATTCGTCTGCATTATACTGATCCATATTTATTTATACGTTTACATTTGTTGTCAGTTTCTAAATCGATTAGCACACAACGAACCGAAACTGATAACTAGCACACGTATCTAAACGAGTATTTCGTTTCATGATATAGCTCTGCCAGATGGTGACTCTACTACTTCGCCACTCACACAGGTCAGTCATCACCGAACACGTAGATAGAAGTATTCTATTTGGCAACAGCAAGTTCGCAACTTGAGTTGCCGTTTGACAAACCCTAAATTAGTAGGCTCGCTTTGTTCTACTTACTGGATGTATCTATTGGCCAAAACATGAGTGTTTAACAAATATGGATTCTGATCATTTGGAATGATCATCTATTGACACACTTAATTGAAAGGATCACAACACAAAACATCTATTCTGTTTAAATTCCCAGTAATATTTTCGAGAATATTTCGAGAGATTATCTGGTCTCTGGGTTGTTTCTATTCAACTTAGATGAGGTAGACGCTATTCATCATGGACCCTTAACTCTCAAATATGCATAAAAGCTGATTTCTATTATGCCTACACAGTTAGTTCCCGATGCGCGGCTTCGACCATTTCTAGTAGAACAGCCAGAAGGGGTTAACCCAATTTTCCGACACCAGTCTGACCCAGCCTAATTCTTTGCCATAAATCGTCAATCGATGATAAATGGCTTGTTTATGATAAATTGTCAGAAACCGGTTATCAGTTTGCTGCAACACAACTGCTTTGTATCAGGTTAGGATATGCGCAAAACGTAGAGAGTGCGACGTGCTTTATGGAAGTAGGTATCATATCGATACTAGGGAATGGTTCAGTTATTATGAGTCGCCGAATATGGGCCAGTGATGAGGTTTATCCACCTCCAAGTATTGATTGACAGCGTAACAGCAGTAGCAAGACAGGGACTCAAACATGAATTTGGCGATATCGATCGTTTCATTCTTCTAGCTGCAAATAGTAAACCCAAGTTAGACTCACTGTACGACAAGCTGTCGCTGATACATATCAGTCGTGCCGTGCAGGATATGTAACTACATACGTGCCCCAGTTGTGTTGGGAAACATAATGAGGCCAAGCAAACGTTGTGCTTTCGACGCGTAACAAAATTGGCGCCAAAAAATGGTGGCCATAAAGACCTCTGAACCTTGCTGCGAAGTTGTGTTAATATCAACCAGAATTCGTATTTATGTCAATTTGTTTTACAACTAATGTATAATGAAAGCTTCCATGAACGGTGACCCGCACGAGACATATTCATGCTAACGTCATCAAAATAGAATGTGAGTTGCACTCCAACACTGTTACAGTAAAGAATAAGATCTGGGCCACAGCGGCTATAAATAGACAGTGTATCCGGCTTCACCGCTTCGGACAACCACCAAGTGCTAAAATAGGCTTATAATATAGCAAGGAGTATGCTCTTCCATCGCTATTATTACGATTGTCACATTATACTTCTTATATTAAAAAAAATTCGAAATTATTCCGTGACCACATTTAATACCCTGCATGAAATATACGAAAATATTAGTTTCTAGCGCCGATATGTGGCCAGGTTAAGATATATAAGATGAAACTACTTCAAAATACCACTTTACTCTAATGTAATAAAAGTAAACGCCTTTACTGTAGTGGGCTGTTAGTGTCGTTGCACTTAAATATGAAATTACCAACTAAAATTATAACTGCAGATGAAAACGAATCTCCTTAGGTACAGTTGATTTGACGAAAATGATAAAAAATATCTAAAATTCTATAAAAACGATTGGATTTGTGTAAAATGAAGAGGGTGGTTCAGCTAAATTGGGAATTTTTCCATGGCTTTTTTTTTAAGACAGCAATCACTTAAATTTCCAGGGGACATATAGAAAATGTGCTCGTACATAGATAACAAAGCAAAAAAAAAACATTTTGAGCAATTGGTCACATATAAATTTCCTGTTGAGTCTAGTGACTCGACCCATATCATCGAAATGGTCTCATTGGCCTTTTCTACATTTGTTTCATCTTAAAAAATTAGGATAATTTTAGACATAATGAAACACGAAGTATTGGAAATGAAAAGCTTCAAGAAATATGCACATTCAGGCTTTTGCATACGATATAAATTGCACAAATGGATAATACCTATTGAAACTTTCTGGGAAGAATATTTACTGTTTCTGTTATTCGCGGCAGAATAAAATGTCAGAGAGAACAAGTTCAACCTTACAGGACTACCATGGCGAACAAAAAGTTCTAAAAATTCAAATGACTGGACCAAATTAGCACCGGTGAACTAGTTCAACTAAGAGGCCCCTACAGCGCGCGGTTTTTGAAACTCATTTAGTGAAAAGTACTTTAAACAGTCTTTCACTAGCATCTATCTTTTAATAAAAGGTTTCGTTGATATTCTTGTTAAAGTTAAAAATAAAATAATTTGCGAATTGTAACTGAGGGATTTAACCTAACTTTTCACTAATCAGCGGCTTCCAAAGCACGTATCCCTTAGTTGGAGCGAATAAGCGAAACAGCCAAGAAAACCTCCTGCATTACGACGTGACGTATTTGGCCGACCGGAACAGTTTAATCAGAAAGCTTTTAACAGAAAACATTTTGGTTAGAATGGCCAGATTTGCAGAGCTTGGCAATGCTGACCGCTCGGGCTCGCAGACAGGCTTGGCAATGCTGACCGCTCGGGCTCGCAGACAGACCCGGAATGGGTGTTGACCCTAATAATAATCGTGTGGCGCATTCCATTCCTTCCAACTAGCTTTTAGTATTGATTAATGAAGGTCGGTTCTAGTGCTTGTAAGATAGATGGTTTTAATATCTGTCTAGGACACCTCATTGCACTTTTCTAGCTCTTCTTTTAGCTATTCAGTGTACCGTTACACACGGGAAACAGCTTCTACCCTTGCTTTTCCCTGATTTTGTACGATATGAGGTGGATATGGAATTTGAGTAGTGCCTTTCAGCCAGAATTGCCAAATCGTTAAAACGCCAATTTCGACGAGGGCAAACAGTTCGTCTCTTCTCATTTCCGCATACCTCCTGCGACCCTGCGTCGATCGGGTTCATGCCCCCATCCACTGTGTCCGGCATCAATCATTGAAGGCTTCATCGATAGTATGTTTTTATATGGTCAATTAGAATGCGTATTAAAATACATTGCAATACAATACAATTGTAACTACTAGTAAACATATGATAAAAACCTAAACAGGTAGTGAAACGTAGGATCCATCAGGAAGTATTTGCATTACAAATTTCGAGGAAAACATTTTATCTATAAACACATTGGCAGAATACGAAACGCCTAGAAAAAACCTAGATAACATATATATATATATATATTTTTTTTTTTCGGGAAAAGTTAACTTGTCTGTCGCCACTCGTAGTTAGCAATGTATGAAGATGTCTTTGCCACAGTGAAAGCCGACATACAGAGAGTGTAAAGAAAGAAGATTAAACAAAAACAATACACACACACGCACCTATCGAATAATTCATACAAGACTGGTTTCCTTTTTAATACTTTAGACAATTGTTGCAAATATCGATAACAGATATATCTGCAAAATAATGACTAACGTGATCTCGGGCGTGTAGTGTGCTTGGATAGTGTTCGAGGAAGAAGGAAATAATATCGGGGTGCTGGTAGAGGACAGCTTTATGCAGCGGCGTTGCTCCCTGAGGATCACGGCTATATGCAAACTTTTTGTGTTCGATCAATCTTCGAACGAGGTCGAGTCTTCCAGCTACAACCGCTTCGTGGATCTCTTCGATCCGGGCCTGAACTGCTGGCACTTGACGGAGGAAGCGTGACACCTGCGGAATCCTGAGTAACAATGAACGAAAGACAACAATGAGCCTATCAAGCACCAGATATTTGACAGATCTATATCTTTGTAATTGAGTGAATCGCCATTGAGTGAATTCAAGTTCGCTATTGTTAAGTGACCTGGAAATTCACGATCTCGTTTAGCTCATGACTGAGATAAACTTGTTTATTAGTGATGCCAATGAGGCTACAAATATGTTTATTGGCAAACATTATATAAATATATTGTATTGGTAAGATCATAATTGTAAGCTCCAAATAAATACTAAATACTTATTCACTAATGGGAAGCTGTAAGGTGACTGAATACTACGTCTCTTAATATTGTGGTACCTTGGTAGAAAATTTATATACTTTCTTTGCTGGAAGATCATATACTGCATGCTACTAGATATATATATATATATATATATATATATATATATATAAGGAACCGCTAGATTTTAAATTGACCCCAAAAGCGAAAGCCCAGCCTGGCAGAGTTTGCGATCAAGATCTATTTGAAAAAAAAAGTGATATTACTTTGTAAAACATATAAAAAAATAGTAAGTTAACGATAATGAACGTTACCAGTAACGATAGGTTAGGTTAATTAATGGCGCACTTGAAATGCTATTCTGGTAACCTTGCTATAATTAATCCAACCGATTCAATAAAGCAAAAGCGTCCAGTCCAAACTTAGGCACCATCTCGAAAGACTGGACCATTTCGAAAATTTTATAATCCTCGACCATTATTAATTTTTAGATAGAACTAGTCGTATGTAGTCAGAGGTCTATCTAAAACAATATTATTTTTAAGTTCTCATAAAATAACCTAACCTAATTAGATCTGTATTGGCGCTGTTCAGAGTTACATTTTAGCTGAGCACGCGCGCTTTCAAGAGTTACCATCATGCGCTCCGTAACTGTTCTCTATTATGTGGCTCACGTAGAATGAAAAGAATCATGCAATAAGGGCTTCAAGGTTTATTGAACGTTCAGTTTGCGCCGCATATTAATCCATCACGATTACCCGCAAGCCTCATGCGAGTTGGGTCCCTGAGGGTGGTCAACCCCGCGAGGCTTCTTTTGACGTTTAACCTCCGAGTGAAGGCCGCGAGAGTATGCCCGATGGACCGGACTGACGTCTGGTTTGGCCCACAGGCACAGTTATTCGAAGGGCGGGTAAAACTTTTCAAATTTGTCCTTTAATAGCCAGTCTGGAATCGACGATGACAGTAGCATAAGTTCCTCAAGATCGCCTATTGTAATTATATCAGGGTTTGAGGTTTAAAAGGGGTTAGGACAAAGTGGCCTTTTAGTTGAATTTTGTCTATTCGTCTTCCGCGCGGTGCGTGTGACAATCACGTAACTACACTTTTGCGGACCAGCTCGTAAGAGCGTCATCGTAGACAAAGGGTGCGTCTATGCAGCTCAGTTCTAAACTAACTTATAAACTGCGTATAAATCTATACTGATTATTTTCATGTTGATGGAATATTGAATATGATAACGGGACTCTGCTCAGGTACGCAAATAGGTACTAACTATATCAGTTAGAGCGAAGGCAACCATAACAGAAGTTTGACTGCTTTAAATGAAAGCAAGCGAGAAAGACAATGCGTCCCGCGCCCTAAAGGTGAGTATTGTGACAAAAAAAAAGGGGGCGCATATCACGTATGCTGTTAAACAGAAGAAGTAGTTAACTTAGTTCAATACATAAATTTATTTAGGTTTAATAAAAAACACGTTTTCTATATGAAAACGATTATGAAAGAATATTTTATTAGGAAAATACACAGATATGAATGTACTACACCTTGGGAGTTTCGTTTGCGTTTTATACATGTATCTGAATAATATACGTTTCGGTTGTATGCTATCCCTGAATAATAAATAATGATACTGCAACCATTTAGAGATACTAAAGCATAAACTTACACTGAAAAAAAAAAAGCAAAATATGTGAGAGCCATTTTCCTTCGGTCTTTTGCGCTGCCGTATGATGTTTACTATTAATTAGTAATTAGGTACAATGTATGTTAGTTTGAACTTATAGGTAAGTTTAAATTGATCTCGTCCTGAAAAAACAAACAATGCAAAAACACATAGTAGCATCTAGAACGCTACCTGTGAGATACTCGAGTTGCTACAAAGACGAGCCTAAGTTATATTGTGTGCGAAAACGTACATACTGGAAAGCTTTATACTAACTTTATAATTGTGTTCCATATTCCTGGCATGTTTAATAATTGACTATTTATCTATCATAAATTTTATGGATCATAAGATGATAAGCTGTCTATTTAATTTCTTCTTGTATAGCCATATCCGACAGAAAATTTCCCCTTAATGATGTAGTGTCTAATCTATCTTGTCCGCTTTTATCAGTAAATATCCTGCACATAATCAGGCCATCTTTGTTATCCAAGCACGAACATATGGTTAAAAAATAAGGTGTCCTACGCTATCCCTTAAACTGAAAATTACTGTTGCACTAAACCAACATACGAGAACACCCATGGTGCACAAGTTGTCATTATTACGAATGTTTTCTCGACTTTAGGGAATGGATAATTATAATTTTTTTCTAGTCTCGCTCCACGTCAAGTCAGACGCGGTTAATGTAATTACTTGCAACAGTCCCAGTTCGCTCCGGGAAGTCCTCAGAGCGACGGAGTCCACACTCATATACCGGGTGCTGGCGTTTAGCCTGTTGAGATTCATGTACGACGTCTGTCCGCTAACTCACTGTTGCTTCTGACATGTGACTCTTCATGCGTCGCCATAGCCGTGACGGAAATCCCGTCGAAAAGAGTACAAACAGGGATTTGACCAACGCAAGCCAACATAACGCACCCCAGCCAAGTGAAAGCGGCAAGCGTGTTCATGACAATTTGGCGAAATGACCCCAACAGAGAGCGGGAGAGAGCCGCCATTTGGCGGATCGTTGGCCTCGACCTGATTTCTAGTAATATAACGACAGCTCCCGCAACCGCCCTTCAGCCCCACGTAACCCTTAACGGCTAGACCTAACTGCCCCGCAAAGATTCGTAGGGCTAAACCCGTTACTCATTAATCAACAAAACCTGTTCGTTTTAGGCGACAAAGCTAGTTCACATTTGGACGATCGGTGTGAAACCGTCAGACTGCCTGTGTAAGTAAGGACCTGTAGCGCTTGGCGAACGGAAATCGACTATGGATTGGTCATAAAGCGGAGAAGCTAAACAATATAGTTAATCATAAGCGCAGTTAGCTGGAATGGGTATCTATGCAAGGACATATTTGATCAACGACTGATACGCTAGGATCAAGCTCGTCTGAGTTATTAACTAGTTTCGTTCTCCAGATCTGTCCTTTATGACAAGAAAGGAAGCATAGACATACAAGAAAGCAGCGAATGGAACAACGAATAGATCAAACGGATCCGGTCACTGTTATTCGCGTGTGTGCGTGTGTGTGTGTATGAACGATGCCAGCTCAATTCTAATGGACTCAGATCACGAAATCGAAATTAAGAGGTCCTAGTCTTCATGCAATAAGGCACATAGAGACTTTTCGCAAAAGAGTTTTCATGGCCGGCTGATTTATCACTAATGCTATGGCTATAGGTGATCCAAGGTAGAGGCAGCCTTATCTAAGACTGGATGTTATATCTTGATCAAGCAACGTGTATGTATCTCAATAAATCAATAGTGTCTTCCATTTATTACGGGGTTTACATTACATGTATACAGAGTAAGGCACATCGGATTGGGTCGTGAAAATGTTAAAGAACGCTATGCGAATGGTAAATCCTTTGAAATGAAACGCTTTCCGTTTGAAGAGATACCTCAAAATAGTCTTGAATGAATAATATTCGAGTTTCGACTTTTCAAATACTAATCTGGCTAAAGTAGCTGTATAAATCTGTATAAATGTGAGTAGTTTCATTTAGCATATACAACCCTGACATTGAACAATCAGCCAATTAACAGAACCAGAATAGTACAAGCAACTTATCTTAATTCAACTTCCAGCGTGCTCCCGGCCATCACCATGGTTCAAAGTTAAATTGGGTCGTTTTAAGGAATCTATTTAAATATTGAAAGATAGTCTCTATAATCAAACTCCTCAACCCTCATCAAACCTAACCTCGACCCTTAGGTGCCAAATCAGAGTAATAAAGAATGTAGTGGCATGGTGGGAAAAAAAATTAACAACAAAACCATAGATTATCCAATTTGAGAGTATCTTTAATAAGAAGTATCAAGTTTGCACATACAATAGATCCCGTGTAACAAATTCCTATTATAAACTATATAAACCTATATAAATAGTAAACTATTTGCTCTTTAGTAAGTTGATATTAATTACAAAAAATTGTATAAGGCAAAATATTTACTATTGTCTACCTTTAGTTTTTCATACGAATCTACAGAACATTAGATGGTTTTCGCATTTTAATTTGGCCTTAGTTCTGTTGCGAACATTAAGTTAACGTATATGCTTCGATCGCGCAACCGATGAACTTATGGGGAAAATTGTTTCAACAAAATAAAAAATAGTATTATTGTCTTCGAACATAGTTGTCCTCCAACAGACTGACGTCATCACAAGTTACTGCACGAAAGTTCGTCAACAACACGTCCTATTTTTAACTTAGTTTGTCGCCTCAAAACATTACTAAGTTTCAACTTTACCATCAAGCTCTTTATAATCCATATTATCCTCCTTGGTACTGGCTAGTAATTCATTGCATCTTACAGAGTGTCCAACCAAGATCATATTCGCATCAGATTCGCTTATTCGTGTATGTGAGCCCGTTTAATTTCAAACAACAGTTGCCCTCTACATGCATTAGCCGATCTATGAGGGGCAGGACGAATGGGGAATTATGTTCGTTCTCAATTTTGCTCCACTTGTGTGGTCGATGCCGCCGCCGGTTCTGCTACCGTAAAATGTTCATACAACCTCATATTAGTTAGCCTAGGTAGACATAAAGGATGATCCATTTCGTTAAGAAGGGAAGAGTGA